TTTCGAAAGCGCGTTTGTCCATCCGAATGAAATTTTCCAAATTTAGTCCTTATTGGATACTAAATGTCTACACTAAAAATTATAAATATCGATCCACTTTTTCTGGTAGCCCCCATATAACGGTACCCCCCAATTTTCAGTATTTTGAGGGTTTTGATCGCATTTTCGGCCAAATGGTTAGTAATTTAGTATTTTGACTTTTTTATTGGGTAGCAAATCTCCCCGCTAAAGATTATAAATATAGGTCCATTTTTTTGTGGTTACCCCCAAATAGGGGTATCCTCAATTTTCGGTATTTTAATATTTATATTTTAATTATTAATATGCACCCGCTTTTAGAGGTAGGCCCCATATAACCCCCTTTTATTCCCTTCACCATACTGTGGTACAGGGTATTATGTCTTTGTGCATATGTTTGTAACAGGCAAAAAGAATTAGGTCTGGCTTGATGTATGCGAAGTTTTATTGGAGTCTGTTTAGATTTAGATATAACACCCGTATAAAGTTTTCAATTCAGTTTTTCATAAATTTCAGATTTGTATGTGCATGGGTTGTTTTAATTTAGTTCAAATATCTATGCACGCAGTTAATTTCGTCCGATTACATTTCAGTGGTCCTCCTTAGTGGTCTATTCTTTCAAAAGGATATTGTACATATGAGCATCTCTTGTATGTACCCAAAGTGGTAAAGGGTATCATATATAGTCGGTCCCGTCCTACTTTTGAACTTTCATTACTGGTTTATATTAAAATAGTAGGCTGATCATTTCTTTCCTGAGTTGGGGTTGTCCCCATATAGGCGTATTCTGTCATAGTATGGGGGATAGTCGTTACTCGGAATAGTCAGTTTTTATTCTACAAAGTGTGGAATCCTAAGACGATATAGTTATCCGCCTTCTAATGATATCGTGATAATAAAAAAACTCGAACCTGACGATAATAAAATATGTCGGCAGGCATTTAGACCTCCACTACATGTAATGATACCTCCTGAAGGAAAGAATTGAGATACAAAACTAAAATATTGGGTTCGAAATTGACCGATCTATGGTCATTAATTAGGCATAGCCCTCATATAGTGATAAACCCAAATATTCGCTAATTCCTGCACTATGTAATCCATATTGATCCAATATTGGACATTTGTATTTGGTGTACATAATGATTTACATAAATCGGTTTATAGAATTGTCGGTATAGGTCCACTTTTCGGTATGTTCCCTATATTTTCATTTCAAGTATCTGTCAGTATACCTATGGTGGAGGGTATCCAATGAACATAACGCTTTTTTCACATATTTTAATTGCTATGTACGTAGATCATACATTTAATTTCGCCCGATTCCATCTCAATGATCCTCCCAAAATGCTTTGTATGTGCTATCTACATGATATTGTATATATTAGCATATATTATTTGTACCCAATGTGGTGAAAGGTATCATATAGTCGGCCCCGTCCGACTTTTGAAAATTCCTTACTGGATTTCAACTTATTCATATCTATAAGTCGTTACTTAAAAGCAAATGAAAATTGTCAGTTATCGACTGTTGTCAGCAATTCTGTCGTTAAACGGTTACAGAATAACGCTACAGGTATAGGTACCTAAAATCGGGCCTTAGAGCTATGTATCGTCATATACAACAAGCAATCATAAGATATATTTGACTTCTGTGTACATCTCCATGGTGGTAAGAGTGATTACCCCCAGACGATTTAAATCGTCTTAGATAATTAATGAAAAAAAAACAGTCTCGTGCAGATTCGATTAAAATGACTTTAAATTAATTAAGACTAATTAACGAAGTAAATATTGAAATATTTAAAATTCCACTGCGATTTTCAAACCTAGACCCACGTTCGAATTCGCTTTCCGTACACAACAAGTATGTAGTGCATGTTAAAAAGTTATTCTCAATAGGTGACCTCTTCGTTTGTTCACTACGATATTTTTACGATGTTAGTAAAGAAGACAACAAGAGCGAAAAAAACTATAACACACACACATACGCACAACGAAAATTCATAAACAAACACTAATACACAGACAGGCATTCAACGAATAAAATATAAAAAAAAATTAATAAAAATAATTCGCCACAACATCATATTCGTCGATTCGTGCCTTAAGAAACCCTCCAACTAAATGCTACGACGAGGATTTATCCAGTCAGAGTCCTTGTGCTTGTGTCGTGAACATGTATTACAGAATGAAAAAAAAGAGAGTGTGAGACACTAAATTTGAGAGAGAACTTCAAAAAAGCTTTGGAGGTGAAAATAAAGAGTTCGTTGTCTACCGTTTTGTTATTGCCACATAAAGCTTTGCTATGAAAATATTTACTTGTTGGTTATAAAGGATATCAACAAAGAAGAGAGAGAGAGAGAAGCGAGAGAATGAGCCTGTAGCTACATACATACATATGTAAACTTTGTTACAGTGATAGGTGTAATGGTTAAAGGTAACAAAAAAAGAAAAGATGACTGTAACTTTATGGGATATATAAGTGTGTTTAATTATTCAGAAGAGAACCACACAGCATACCGTCGTCATTGCAGTCAGCAAGGCAGGCAGGCTGGCAGGAACCATAAAATGTTGAGAGAGATGGAGAGGGAGTGAGTGGGAGCAAACAAATAACTGTTGAATAAATTAATTAAATGAAATGTTAAGGTTACACTATTTGCACTGTGATATTTAACTTTTATATTTTTGGGTTGTAATTTTTTATTTAATATTTGTTGTTGTGTTTTGGTAACAATTTTTTTTCAATAAAAATTTATTATTTTTTATAAATAATTATTTAAAATTTTTCTTTCTTTTTTGAATTTTTAAACAAATACACAAATGGCACACACACGCACGCACATTAGAGACACCTAATATCAACACAGCTCTCACTACACTGCCACTGACACTTTTTGAAAGTAAGAACTAAACAAACACATCAGCGCACATATCACTGCTAATTGGCATTGGCTGAAACGGAGTGATGGTGACGGTGGTTGGAGGGGGGGTGGTAGTGGTTCGAAGGTGTCGAGGAATCAGGTGGCACAGCCAGTTTCCATCAAAAAATCATAATTCAGTGTGGTGAATTTCTTCATAACAAAAGACCCGAGCGCAACAAGAAGAAATGTATCGGGAATTTCACCTTTGCCTTTTTCAAAAGGTACCAACAAAAAAAAAACGAGCAACGAGCAAAAAACCGAGACGCGTTTTCGACTTTCTTTCAAAACCGAAACCACAAAATTTCTTTTGAAATACTCTTCTTTTTTTGGAAATTTCGATATTTTTTATTTAATAAATAATTTCAGTTACACTTTTTTTATTCATTTAAAAAAAAAACTCAAACTCAGTTAAACGTTCACTTTTTTGATTCGTTTTATTTTTTCAACCCACACGACGCTATTCAATGTAAGTTCAAATTCGTACTGATTATGCTTATTTTGTTTTCATGTCTATCTACCTGTGTGTTTTTCCATTTGTATGTCCGTGTGTGTGTGTTCGTGCCTAAATGGCATCATGGTTTTTCCAGGAGAGAGCCGTCATCAATTCGCCTAAGAATTTTCCCAGCAATAGCAGCTGTTTATTACAACGCCGAAGCTTTATTCTCATTTTGTGTAGAGAGCTTTTTGCTAGAAGCTTTCTCTAGTTAGCAGCAGGTGTTTTATTTATACAGTGAATGATGAGGAAATTAATCCTCTTTAAATGTTCCCCTATCATGATTCAAAAATCCTCATGGAATGCCTTTTTTACAAAATCTGAAATGAGGGTCACTGATGGAGTGTGGAATAGATGTATCTACGCACGCTGGGTTAAAATTCTACATCACTAATTGCCAAAATAACAGTTCTTAGTTGTTTACTTTATTTGTAGTGTGTCTTCAAAGTTCTGCGATTATTATTATTTTTGCGCGCATTGGTAAAAATTGAAAATTTGCATATTTCCAGTGATATTTTTTTTTTAAAAAGACATCTAAAAGTGAAAATTTTATTATGGAGCCGTGTACTTCAGGTATTTGAGCTTATGATAAATGTCTTTTTGTTTAGATACATGTTTTGGAAATATTGAAAAAAAATAAAAAGAAGAAAATTGCTCCAAAAATGAGGTATTTTTAATGTTTGCATTGGATTTCAACTGAATTATCGGTGAAACTTGTATTGTATACTGCTTGTATTTTCTTAAAATATGAAGTTTCAGCTTATAAATGCCAGAAAAACTTTTTGCCGTTTTGCTGCATTTTTATACCCTTCACCACACTGTGGTACAGGGTATTATGTCTTTGTGCATATGTTTGTAACAGGCAAAAGGAAACGAGATAGAATAACTTTCTAAGTCGAATTATGCATGTCCGTCCGTCTGTCTGTCTGTGCATTGGATGAAATTTGGCATAGGTCACTTATTCGGCCCAAGGACGAACCCTATTGAAATTGGGAAAAATCGGTTCAGATTTAGATATAGCTCCCATATATATATTTAACCGATTTAATGTAAACAGTCCCTATATATCTTTCGATTTGCACGAAATTTGGTACAGCCTAATCATTTAGGTCTAGAATTATGTCTGCCAAGTTTCGTGAAAATCGGTCCAGATTTAGATATAGCTTCCATATATAGTTTCGTCCGATTTCATGTAAATGGTGCACCAAAGCCCCTATATATCTTTCGATTTGCACGAAATTTGGCATAACGTACTGAATTAAGCCTAGAGAGATGTCTGCCAAGTTTCGAGAAAATCGGTCCAGATTTCTATATAGCTCCCATATACAGTGGTGGTCACAGAATTAAAACATTTAATGTCGTAAACATTTTTATATCAGCCCTCGATTCGTTTGAAATATTTTTGAAAATTTTTTAATTCAGAACACTTCGATATACTGCACGTAAGAGATTTAGTGTGAAAATAGAAAATTGTTGCATGCAATTTTTCCATAAATAACGGTTTTTATGAAAATATATCGACTTTGAAGTGGCCATATAATTAAAACATTGTGTGATTTTTTTAATTTACTGCATGTTTAGAATATATTAAAAAAAAAGCTCTTTAATTTAGTTCAATTGTGTAAATTAAGCACCGATAAAATCATTTACAGATACAAATTTTTGAAAAAATCTGTAAAATCTATAAAAATTTCCGAAAAAATTGTACAGTTCACTTTGCATTCATAAAATAACCCTTATTATAGAAAATAAAGGTCCGAATGCACCAGAAATTGCTAGAATTAGTAGAAAACAATAAATAATTCTCAAAATAAATAAATATTTGAAATAAAAACACAAAAAATGGGAATTAACCTCATAGAACGATTCAATTTCGATAGCCTTTATTGAAGAAGGCCGGAATATTTTTGCAGTATGTGAGGAAATATCGATTGATATTGGCATTTATTATATCAAATCGATTGTTTGAGTAGTACAGAATATATTTTATCAAAAAATATATCAGTCACAACAGAACGAACAGAGAGCAACACCGAGGAAACGTTTCTGGCACACAGCAGCATGTTTGATGGTTAACTCTTGACCCTTAAAATCTATTGAACATGACAATATTTTTCCAAAATAATATTTTTTAAATAGAATAATGTCCATTTAACCTATTTTAGCCTAAAAGAATGAAAAAAATTACAGTTTGACAAATATTTAAAGTCTTGTGTTGAGCATCAAAAATGCTGCTGTGTGGCAGAAACTTTTACTCGCTAACATAGGCGCTGATCTCTGTTCGTTATTTTATGACTGATATATTTTTTTGATAAAATATATTCTGTACTACTCGAACAATCGATTTGATATAATAAATGGCAATATCAATCGATATTTCTTCACATACTGCAAAAATATTCCGGCCTTCTTCAATAAAGGCTATCGAAGTTGAATCGTTCTATGAGGTTAATTCCCATGTTTTGAGTTTTTATTTCAAATATTTATTTATTTTGAGAATTATTTATTGCTTTAATTCTAATTCTAACAATTTCTGGTGCATTCGGACCTTTATTTTCTATAATAAGGGTTATTTTCTGAATGCAAGGTGTACTGTACAAATTTTTGGAAATTTTGGTAGATTTTACAGATTTTTTCAAAAATTTGTATCTGTAAATGATTTTATCGGTGCTTAGTTACACAATTTAACTAAATTAAAGAGTTTTTTTAAAATATTTTCAAACCATGCAGTAAATTAAAAAAATCACACAATGTTTTAATTATATGACCACTTGAAAGTCGATGTATTTTCATAAAAACCGTTATTTATGGAAAAATTTCATACAACAATTTTATATTTTCACACTAAATCTCTTACGTGCAGTATATCGAAGTGTTCTGAATTAAAAAAATTTCAAAAATATTTCAAACGAATCGAGGGCTGATCAAAAAATGTTTACCACAGTAAATGTTTTAATTCTGTGACCACCACTGTATAGTTTCGTCCGATTTCATGTAAATGGTGCCCCAAAGTCCCAATATATCTTTCGATTTGCACGAAATTTGGCATAACGTACTGAATTAAGCCTAGAGTGATGTCTGCCAAGTTTCGAGAAAATCGGTCCAGATTTAGATATAGCTCCCATATATAGTTTCGTCCAATTTCATGTAAATGGTGCACCAAAGTCGCTATATATCTTTCGATTTGCACGAAATTTGGCATAACGTACTGAATTAGGTCCAGAATGATGTGTGTTAAATTTCGTGCAAATAGGTTCAGATTTAGATATAGCTCCCATATATATTTTCGTCCGATTTTATGTAAATGGTGCACCAAAGTCCCTATATATCCTTCGATTTGCACGAAATTTGGGATAGCGTACTGAATTATGTCTGGAACGATGTGTGTTAAATTTCGTGCAAATAGGTTCAGATTTAGATATAGCTCCCATATATATTTTCGTCCGATTTTATGTAAATGGTGCAACAATGTCCCTATATATTTCCGCGATTTGCACGAAATTTCGCATAGCATAATGAACTAAGTCTAGAACGATGTGTGTTAAATTTCGTGAAAATCGGTTCAGATTTAGATATAGCTCCCATATATATTTTCGTCCGATTTTGGATTTATAAGTAAATAAAGAACTCAAAATGTGGCCGAATGCAAAAACCATACTGAAATAAATGTAACCTATATTTCGATATTTCGCTTTAAATTTATTTACATTAGTTTGTCCCATCGTAAGAAGCAACTCTATACCTGACCAAAATTTAGTATAGGTTGCAGAATGACATGTTTAATTTCATGTTAATGGTTCTTCAATAATGCGACGTCTGTTAGGATTCATCTGTTTAATATACCCACAGTGGTGAAGGGTATCATATAGTCGGCCCCGTCCGACTTTACTACTTTCCTTACTGGTTTGACTTATTAAAGAATTTGTAAAATAACTCCATAGAATGAATCAAAAATTTGCTTGATGCTTCAATTTCCTTTAATGCCCCACCAACACAAACACAAAAAAGAGGTCGGCATGATCTCCAATTTGATTTGAGGAGGAATATAATACTCCTTTGTCTGTTTTGGCACACGCTACACAAATGAGATTAAGATCAGCTGGAAAAACAGATGAGTCAAAAATAGTTAAGGAAATAATATCATCTCCAACAAGAGCGAAAAAATACAGAAAAAGTTTACAACAGGTATCACCACAGCAATTAAGTGCGGAGGAAGACCTTTCCGTCTTGGTAGAAGCGAAGCTAAGTCGACACCAATATAATGTAATTAGAAAAGCCGCGCCGGAGAAATTTCCATCGTATACAATAGTCCAAACAGTTAAAAAAATTTTATCCAGAACGAGACGAAATAAAAATTACTGAAACGTCAGCGCAAGTCAATCCACAAGCACTATTAGACCATACCACTGAGATGACTTTACACACAAGATGACTTTACACACTAAGTGGGGATTTGATGGAAGTTCAGGACACTGTGCATATAAACAAGGCTTTCATGACATTAACGCCTCAGATTCTTTAGTATTTATAACATCGCTTGTACCATTGAAATTAGTTTGTGGAAATAAAACAATTTGGCAAAATCCTCGTCCGTCTTCCACTCGTTTTTGTAGGCCCTTGAAAATTGAATTTATGAAAGAAACGTTCAACAGTATTAAACTCGAAAAAGAAAGAGTAGAGACTAAAATAAAGGCTCTTGTCGATTCCGTATTACTAGTTGGAGAGAGATTAGTGAAAATTAATCACGAACTAATTCTCGTCATGGTTGACGGTAAGGTCTGTAATGCTATAACAGACACAAAGTCCACACAAAAGTGTTATATATGTGGCGCTACAAGCAAAGAGTTTAACAATATTGATGAAATGATTGTAAAAGTTGTAAATATAGATAACATGCTTTTTTAGTTTATCTGTCCTTCATGGCTGGATACGATTTTATGAATGTATTATTCACTTGTCATATAAACTTCCGATTAAAAAATGGCAAACTGGATGTGATGATGAAAAAAAAATTATTGCTGATACAAAAAAACGCATTCAAAGGGAATTCCGAGAGAAAATAGGTTTGATTGTTGACCAACCAAAACCAGGCCTTGGAAACTCAAACGATGGTAATTCGGCAAGGCGTTTTTTTAAGAATGCTAAAGTATCTGCAGAAATTACAAGAATTGATTTACAATTGATGCACACAATATTAATAGTTGTTTCTAGTGGTATTGAGGTTAATATTGACAAATTTCGCTAAAGACACTGCAAGGCTATCTGTTAAAAATTATCCATGATATCATATGCCACCTACTCTACATAAACACTTCATTCACGGGCCAGAAATTATAGCGCTTGCACCATTGCCTATTTGTCAGCTAACTGAAGAATCTCAGGAAGCCAGAAATAAGGACTTCAAAAGCTATAGGGAGCACTTTTCCCGTAAATTCTGTCGGGAAAATACAATAGAAGATTCTTTTAAGTTCTGATCCGTTTATTTCGAGCAAGAGGAAGAGTTGTAAAAAGAAAATACAGCAAATGCCTCAGACTACATTGGAGTTACTTATTCTTGCCCAAAATGAAAATGATAATGGTGACGAAGACGATGAATGTTATTTTAACGAATTTTATAATTGTATAAATTAATTTTAAAGTGGTTGTCAAAAAATTATGATTTTGAAGTTAATAATACTTTTAAAATTAATGAAATGAAGTAAATCAAAAACCGTACAATTATTTTTTTATTTTTATTATTTTTTTAATTACTTTTTTCCTGTAATGGTTGTTTGTTTTATTTTTATGCTATGATTTTTGATTATAAATATTGATCAATAAAATATAATAATATTTTCTAATGTATTTTTTTTTAATATGTGGAATAATGGAATTTGAAGAAAAAAATAGGATTTTAATTTTAAATTTTGGGTATAAAAATACAGATTAAAAATTTATTAATTTTTATTTTTAGGAAAATAATTTTCAATAGCATTTTGTAATATATCGTTTTTATTTGAAAAATTACAACGAAAATTGTGATATAAGACAATTTTTTCCAAAATACAAAAAATGCCATAAAAGATTTAAACAACAATTGTTTTATTTATTTATTTTTTTCTTTTTGTTTATAATTATGCTTTTTATATATTTATGAATACCCATCAATAAAAAAATAACAATATTTTAAAATTACGGCTTTCCTGAATTAATCGCCACTTTGCCTACCGCTCAACCCACTGTGCTACGGTTCTTTGGAACTATTAGTTTCCGAAAAGTACTAATCGAACTATTAGTATACGAATAGTACATTTAAATTACATTTTATACAATTTCGTAGCATAAGGGCGGATAGATCTAAAAACTTGAAATTTGGATGGAATACGAATCAAGGCTGAGAAGTAGATTCGATATATAAAGGTGATTTTGCAATTGTGTACTCATGTATGCGAAAAGTACAAACCGTACTAAATTTGTTACAATTTGAATTTGGAGAAACGGATGGAGCTGGAATGCTGAAATTTGAAATTAATTAATATATGTTGGTAGTTGTTATACCCTTCACCACACTGTGGTACAGGGTATTATGTCTTTGTGCTTATGTTTGTAACAGACAAAACGAAACAAGATAGATACATGGTTCCTTTTGCGAATATGCATAGAATCGCTTTTTAAGTCGATTTATGTATGTCCGTCCGTCTGTCTGTCCACGTATATTGTAAACAAAGTACGGGTCGCATTTTTGATTCGAATTAGATGAAATTTGGCACAGCTAATTTCTTTGGCTCAAGGACGAAACCTATTGAAATTGGGAAAATCGGTTCAGATTTAGATATAGCTCCCATATATATTTTCGTCCGATTTAAATTAAATGGTGCACCAAAGTCCCTATATATCCTTGGATTTGCATGAGATTTGTCATAGCGTACTGAATTGAGTCTAGAATGATGAGTGGTAAGTTTCGGGAAAATCGGTTCATATTTCAATATAGCTCCCATATATATTTTCATCCGATTTTTTGTAAATGGTGCACCAATGTCCCTTTATATCCGTCGATTTGCACGAAATTTGGCATAGCATAATAAATTGAGTCTAGAATGATTTGTGGTAAATTTCGGGAAAATCGGTTCAGATTTAGATATAGCTATAGGTAAATAGTGCAACAAAGTCCCTTTATATACTTCGATTTGCACGAAATTTGGCAGAGCGTACTGAATTGAGCCTAGAATGATGAGTGGTAAGTTTCAGGAAAATCGGTTCATATTTCAATATAGCTCCCATATATATGTTCGTCCGGTTTTATGTAAATGGTGCACCAAAATCCCTATATATCCTTGGATTTGCATGAAATTTGTCATAGCGTACTGAATGAAGTCTAGGGTGATGTGTGTTAAGTTTCGGGAAAATCGGTTCAGATTTCGATATAGCACATATTCATATATATTCGTCCGATTTTACATAAATTGTGCACCTGACTCCTAATGTATGGCCGATTAACACGAAATTTTGCACAACGTATCAAATTGAGACTTGAATGACGTTATTGCGTTCTGTTGAAATTGCTGCAGATGCAGCCATAACTTCCATATGAATTTGGAAGGGGTATCTAATTGAAATTAAATTTTAAACAGGGCGGCGTACCGAAAAGTGTGTATCAATTTTGCTATAAATCGTTTTCCATATATTTGTCCCATAGCACTATAGGTCAAAGACCGAGTTTTCTGTGCAAAATTGAAAAAATCAAAGTGTCGTTCTTCACGAGTTGTGTTTGTATTTAGAACACTCTAAATTGGAGGCACGTGATATTTATTAGTGCTAAATATAAATTACCGTTATACATCTGGCCGTGCAAGTCGCTCAATACAATTTATTCTATAAATATGCTAATATTTATATGGTGCTTAGTCAACTTTGTGTGCGTATTATTTCGAATTTCATCGCAATCCGTTGTATATTACGGTTTTGGTGCATCTTAAACCTGAAATCGGATGAAAATATATATGGGAACTATATACAAATCTGAACCGATTTCTTCTATATTCTAGTAACAAAAAAAAAAACAGTTGGACCAAATTTCATGAAGTTTGCACAGAAAAAGTGGTCATTTGACCTATAGTGCATGGTACGCAGACGACTCTAAATCTGCACGAATGAAATTAAATTTATCATAGGTTGCAGAATGGCATGAGTATGTTCCAACGAGGGAACATTGGCAAGCAATTGTAAGGATGCATATGTACAATATACACAAAGTGGTGACGGGTATCATATAGTCGGCTCAGTCCGACTTAACTACTTTCCTTACTGGTTTGGTATTTTGTAGTCGTATATGGTAACAAATCTCCTACCAAAAATTATTAATATTCGCCACTTTTTAGGGTAGTACCATATATATCATGGTAAAATTATAACAGTTAACATCAAAACCCAGCTGATTTGATTCCACGTTATACAAGTGTCAATTTGAATATGACAAATTGTGTTTTTAAAAATTACCCAACAGGAACATTCGGAACGCATACAATTCGAAATTGTTCGTTATTAAATGTCCTCCCGTATTCAATATACTCAATCTGCCTGCTGGGAAAGTTTGAGGAAGTAAATCTTTCGTCATGGAATAACCCGCAATCCCCAGCATTTTCATATGTATTACACATGTAAATGGTAATGACTCAAATATAGGAAAGATGTGGAAGCAATAGAAATATAAATTTGATAGATTTTCATTCATGTTTTTCAATTTTATTTTGATGATTCGAAAATATTAAATTTTCAAAATATTTAGAATTTGTTGATAATTTGTTTGTTTGTATAAATTTTTCTTTCAAATGACGTTGACACTAGTATAACTTACAACAACAAATTTCCATGTGGTTGTTGTATCGTTTGTTGTACAACAACACTTGCTGTTACCTTCTATTATTATACCATGCATATACATATATTTAGCCCGATTTGCACACTATTTTGCACAACATACTGAAGTTAGGATGGCCTAACGTGTGCCGAGTTTTATTGAAATCGGTTCAGATTTAGATATATTTCAGCGAATTCGCTTGAAGCGCGCTCAAGAACCCCAAATATTCACCAGCATTTAGCCATCTCTCCAATATAATAATACCTCCTGAAGTAAAGAATTGAGATACAAAACTAAAATATTGAAATTGGATGAAATTTTTAAAAAAAAAGGTCTGATAAAAGAACAACATATAAAAAATCCTTTTAGTTAATTTATTCTATTTTTTTAATTACTTAAACTATTTATATATGTTGTAAAAAATTAGCCCCTGTATTACACTTTACCCACTATTATTATTATACAATGGATAGGAGAAATATACATACCAATAGATACATTTTTTAAATTATGACCAATTATCTTTCGTTTATCATATTCTTTATTTTATTTAATTATAATTATATATGTATTAATAATATTTGAGATATTTTTTATTGTGCAAAAATTATTTAATAAATTTAAATGTCTAATTGTATATATATGCAGTTTTAAATGGTGTGAGGGTTGATCAGGTGTAAATGAATGTGAATTTCACAATTAACAATGCAATAAAAATATGAAAATGATTTTTTTTTGGAACCGAAATAAATGGCACAGCTTATGAAGAGCAGGTTGGAAAAGGGACTGACTTACATTATTACAAACTAAACAAAAAAGTATAGATCAATACTAAATAGTAACTTCTAAGTCATAGTTAAAAGTTTAACTTTTAAATTTGTTGTTATTTTTTGTGTAAGAAAAGATAGAGGAATCTTAAATTATTGCTGTTAGAGATACATAATTTAAATATATACTTTTAAAGCTTAAGGAATACAAACAATATTGGGAAGCAGGAATAGCAAACCAATAATTTTTTACTCTATTTTAATTTAATATAATACAGTTGTTAAATAAAAAAATATTAACGTGGGGGAATTAATTCGAACATGGCGTATTTCCATGTCCAAGAGCGGGCTAAAGATTCGAAACGGCAGCGATTGTGTTCGTACATATAGCCAAGATCGGGTTCCATGCATACCTGTAAATATATCGTCAATTAATTTCAGATCTCGAAAATGTTTAAGAAAATTAAACATGTACCTCTGTATAAGGATCCGTTAGCAAACTTTGTACAGATAACAATACTTTGGAAACATTCAATGCCAACGACCATTTATGCTGGAAAATATCTATGCCAACATCGCCATGCCGTGAAACATTGGGGTGTAGAATTTTGGTAAGAAAACGAACTGTGGGTGGAATCATGGGATACCTAGAGGAATCGGAATTAAAAGTCAAAATTGTAGATAAATAAATTCTAATAATAAATCTTACCTTTCGGGAAAGAATATAAATATGAAAAATTTACCACCTTCATATGGACTGCCTGGTGGTCCCAATATACTGGCCTGCCAGTATGTATTCTGTTTATCCAATGGTATAGCCTCTATGCCTTCCGTGGCATAACTATTCAGCAGGCGGAAATCATTTATCAAGAAATTTGCCCTGATGGCACTTTGACGCCCTCGTGGTGGTGTCTTCAGTGCCATCTGCAGCAGACATGTTCGACAAAAACATGAACTCATCAGTGCCCCATATAATTTCATCCAATCTTGTATTTCGACCAAATTCTGAAACAGTGGCCAACGTTCCTTGAAATATTTACGCCACATTTGTTGTGAAGTATTTTGGGCAATTATATCATGCCACTGTTTACACACTTCACTTGCCTTCCACATGGACATGTCATCGAGATACGAGAATATGATGACCATAATCTCCACCGGAAACGATAGAATGTGATTCGATGGTCGTAGGGATGGTGTAATTGCCCCGACACCCACTTCATTGGCATTTGCTCTGGCTTCAGACAATAGTTCCATTAACTGGGGCAGAGAACGTGGTGCCGATGGTCTTGGCCTTTCAACGGGTAACACCAAATCCACTTGTGGTCTCTCCACCACTTCATTTTCCACAGGCAATGCTGGCGGATCCTCTCCTACTTCTAGCATGTCATTTTCTGCTTCCAACTCCACATCATCCATTACATCCTCCTCGACGGCATCATTGTCAGGATCTTCCTCCTCTACATCATCGTCCACATCAACGTCAACATCGACATCTTCATCGTCGTCATCATTTTCTTCTGTTTTATCCTTGAAAGGAGGCTCATCATTGCCCGAGTCTTCATCATCGGATATTGTGGTCTCCAGCTCCTCCGTGGGTTCAGTATTGTAAAGAAAGGCATGGCATGTTCCACACAATGGCTCATCAAAATTGGGTCCATAATAGCCATTGCAAACCCAACACGTAGAACTATTCTGAAAATTTAACACACAACAAAATGAAAAATATTCTACTCCACCGTAAAAAAAATACTCCCGTACTTACCGGAAAATTAAAATGATCCTCATGCAACTCCCGTTGTCGTTGTTCCGGTCTACTTTGGTCTTCGACATCGGAATTCATAACATCGTCATCGGATATATCCACATTATTATTGTCCATATTGTTCTGTTGCACTTGATGGTCCGGCATACAGGATGATGCCATTGCTTCAATTGCGTTTACGAGAACAAGTAGTTATTGTATTTGAAGTTTGTTTTTCTTTTCAAAAGAAACTACACGCCAGCAATTTCTTTTACATGAATTTTGTTTTGTTCTAATTCTTTTGATGGCATATAAAATGCCATATTCTTCGTGTTTTGTTTTTTATAAAAATTATTTACTTTTTTTCTTCAATGCACAAAACGAAACGTAGGAAAAGTATTTAGAATGAGATGGTAAAGATGAATGAAAATGTCAAAAGTCAGACAATAGCAAATGCAAGAAAAAAAAAACAGTCAAATGAACACAATCGTTCACGGTCGGCAGTATGACTTACGTCTACGATAAAGCATCCAGGTAAATTTAAAAAACAAATTATTTAATAGCACGTTTATATTATTTCTGTTTTAAGGCGCATTTAGACTACGCCTTCTAAATCGACTCGATTTGCAAATCGAGATATTAAATCATAACTGTTTAGACTAGTATTAACATGAAATGAAGTTGATTTGTCAGCAGCTATTTGGATAGCAATTGTATTCTATTGGGTCAGAAATGCATAAAACCGCTGTCCTTTTAAATTATAGTACTTTTTATTATGAATGCCATCAAAAAATAAATGTTCAGCAGTTGACATATTTTTGTCAGGCTGTTATTTTGAATATTAACTAATTTTAAAGCATACTTTTAGGAGAAACGATTATTTTTTTGGGGACAAAATCAGGGTTGTATTTGAAATTATCTCGATTTAGCATAGGATTTAGAGCAAATCGAAATATTGAGTGGATTTAATTTTGTGTGGTAAATCGTGGAAATTCAAGCTGGATTTAGCAATTAAATCGAGATAATGCACATTATCACGATAAAGGCTATAGTCTGAACGCGTGTTTAGCGGAAATTTTGTTGTTGTTTCTGTGATTAAAGAAAAGTCCTTATTTTTAACAGTTAGCATAAACTAGGATTATTGACTTCGTACAAAAATTAACAAAATAGCAGATATACATTTTTTTTTTTGGAAAATCGAACACACTGCCATTCGCCATTCGCGTAGACAATGTTTCGAAAAAAAAGCATTTAAAGTTTGAGAAACACTCTTGCCGTCACTTGATGCTAACGCAATAAATCGGGTATATCTTCAAGAGTTGTTGAGATTTTCTCTTGCAATTTTATAAGGACATTCCTGAATTAGGGAATGAGGGGGAATCTCGTTAAAGAAGCTTTTCCTTGTCTGCGCCCTCTTTAATTCTAAAGTTTGTGTAGACTGCGAAGAAGTGCGTGGTCCTAATTGACATCTTTCATTTGTTAAGGGCTCAGTACAAATATCACGTTACGTTTGTATCTTGGAATAATTGGGGGTCGAAGTTTGATTTATATCGACCATTAGCTTCAGCAGTTCAAACATGGGCGGAGGTTTATCTCCTATATTCCTTCGAACTCTTTCCGATTATATTCTATACTAGTGTGTGCGGAAATAGTTATTATAAATTTCAAACTATTGATTCCCTTATATTCTCGAACAGCTTGATGTTTTTACTTTTGAAGAACTTTGATAGAACCTCAATAATAATTCGCGGACCAGATCTGCACCTGCATCTATTAAAATGTGTGGAAATGGCACCCAATGCTGTCGTGGTACTATGCACTTCACGGAATTTATGCTGATATATGAATAAAAAACTGCTAGTAATTGAAGATAGTCATTGAAGTCCAATATTATTCATTGGGTATTTGTGAATATTAAATAAACATTCGCGGACAATCAGCGGGTCCTGAGGAGAGTCTCGGAGGAAATGACCGAGTGCCTATGATACCAGGACTGACGAAGCGATGGCACCACTACCTTCCAAAAGACCTCCCAACCTTCCCAAGTGATATCCCTAACGTCGGGGTGTTAGACGATCTTGTGCTCATCTTCCTTTTCCACTGGACCATTCTTTTCCCTCAACCCCCGTTAGGTTAGGGATGTACGGTTGTTAAAAACAACCGTCCACTCGGAGACTAATGTCCATTGCGATCATCCTTTTTTACCTGCAAAGAGAAAAAGAAGAGAGAGAGTGAAAGAGAGATGGTTATTTTAGACATGTTAGATTTTTGACAACCTCTAGGATCTGGTTTGGTTCTATTTCAGAGATTATCAATTTCATATCTTCCAAACTGTTTATGTTTTCTGCCAATCAGCTATGGACATTTACAGAGGATATGTTCAATTATTTCTCGCTCTTCTTCGTCCTCACATAGACGACAGTAATTCTCTCCGCTGGAGTCCCATTACGAAGTGAGAGATCTAATCTTGCAGTGACCTGTTATGATCCCCACAATGATCTCCCTTGTTATGTGCCAGCAGCGAAGAAGTTCTTTTGCGAGAGAATTAAGGCCAGATAGATTCTGCAACCAGGTTCTCTCGACTATCTGTTACCGACTATCTGTTACCGACTACCTCGCCATAGAACAAGCTGATTTTGCCAATGAACTAGCCGATGGATGATTTCACAGATCTCTCAATCGGAAGATTGGACGATTGTGAGCCCCCTCGAGTAAGCTCGTTGGCTATATCATTCCCTTCAATGTCACTATGTCCTGGAACCCAACCCCCTCAACCCCCGTTAGGTTAGGGATGTACGGTTGTTAAAAACAACCGTCCACTCGGAGACTAATGTCCATTGCGATCATCCTTTTTTACCTGCAAAGAGAAAAAGAAGAGAGAGAGTGAAAGAGAGATGGTTATTTTAGACATGTTAGATTTTTGACAACCTCTAGGATCTGGTTTGGTTCTATTTCAGAGATTATCAATTTCATATCTTCCAAACTGTTTATGTTTTCTGCCAATCAGCTATGGACATTTACAGAGGATATGTTCAATTATTTCTCGCTCTTCAAACATAGAAAGACTTTCCCATTACGAAGTGAGAGATGACTCTTCAGTGACCTGTTATGATACAATAAATTCCCTTGTTATGTGCCAGCAGCGAAGAAGTTCTTTTGCGAGAAAAACGTGTTTAATAAATTGAATACCTCTTTTATGTTCCTTTTAATAAAAAAAATATATTTAAATATATCTAAATGTGCTTATTTAAATTTTTGACAATTTTCCAAAAAAAAAATCTGGCAGCCCTGCCCTCAGCCCCAGTTAGGTTAGGGATGTACAGTTGTTAGTAACAACCGTCCACTGGGAGACTAATGTCCATTGTGATCATCCTTTTTTACCTGCAAAGAGAAAAAGAAGAGAGAGTGGAAGAGCGGAGAGATGGTTATTTTAGCCTTGTCAGATTTTTGACAAAGTCTAGAATCTGGTTTGGTTCTATTTTAGAGATTATCAATTTCATATCTTCCAAACTGTTTATGTTTTCTGCCAATCAGCTATGGACATTTATATAGGATATGTTCAATTGTTTCTAGCTCTTCTTCGTCCTCACATAGACAACAATAATTCTCTCCGCTGGAGTCCCATTACGAAGTGAGAGATCTAGTCTTGCAGTGACCTGTTATGAACCCCCACAATGATCTCCCTTGTTATGTGCCAGCAACGAAAAAGTTCTCTTGCGAGAGAATTCAGGCCAGATAGATTTTTAGATTCCGCAACCAGGTTCTCTCGACCATCTGTTACCAACTACCTCGCCATAGAACAAGCGGATTTTGCCAATGAAATAGTCAATGGGAGGTTTAACAGATCTCTCAATCAGAAGATTGGACGATTGTGAGCCCCCTCGAGCAAGCTCGTCGGTTATATCATTCCCTTCAATGTAACTATGTCCTGGAACCCAACACAAGCTTACTATCTGTCGTATATCATTCAGAACGGACTTGCAATCATGAACTGTTTTTGAGTTTATAGTACACGACATCAACGCCTTAAGGGCCGCCTGATTATCGGCACATATAGTCACCGGTCTCGTAATGTCGGCAGTAAGTGATTTTACTATGTCGGCCGCTTCGTGATTGCAAGGATTTCTGCTTGAAAAACGCTACAAAGATTGTTAAGTTTATATGAGTTGTATGTAGCCTTCTTGATTTCGCTCTTGTACCTATTATATGTTCTCTATAAACGTCCCAATCTGTACTGAGTTACTCGATGACGATGACGTTAACGAAAGCCCTTATTCTTAACCTTATAGGGTTAACCAGTAGGGTTTTGAATACAGAAAAGTAAAATTTGAAAAAACTTGTAATTCTGGAACGGAACTGTTATCGAATTTCAAATGTATTATATTTGTAAACACTGCCAGGACTCTACTGTATCTGTGTCAGAGTTGTATTTTCTTTAATGTTATGACATCTAAATGGCCCCAAATACAACAGCTGGTTTTGACATATCATCAAAACAAAACAAACCGTTTGTTGGGGGCACACGTGTGATTGTAAGAACAAAGTTAATCATATTGCGAAAAAATGAAGCCGAAAAAGAAATTAGGTAAATAAAGTTAATAATAATTTAAAAAATATCAAGCTTATTTAATAACGTCCCTCACCCTCTTCACCAATAAGGAGTTGGATTAAGCCGTGAAGAACGACAGGTAATTGTTATCGGCGAAATCATCCAGGAGCTGTTGCAGGCACACGAAGACAAAAAGGATGTCAATTTGAATCGCATGAAATCTCGTATATCATCCAAATATGGTTTGGAAAGTTCACCACGTTTGGTTGATATTATTGCAGCAGTACCACAGGAGGCAAAGAAAATTCTACTGCCTAAGTTGAGGGCTAAGCCCATTAGGACAGCCAGTGGTGTAAGTGGACTCCAAAATCTTGAAAATTATATGTTTAGTGTTTTTTGTTTGTTTCTAGATTGCTGTAGTTGCTGTAATGTGTAAGCCACATCGTTGCCCGCACATTAACATGACCGGCAACATTTGTGTCTATTGCCCTGGTGGCCCAGACAGTGATTTCGAGTATTCTACACAATCGTATACGGGTTATGAACCCACATCGATGCGTGCCATACGTGCCCGTTATAATCCATTTTTGCAAACCAGACATCGTGTGGAACAGTTGAAACAATTGGGACACTCTGTCGATAAAGTCGAATTCATAGTTATGGGTGGTACATTTATGTGTTTGCCAGAGGATTATCGTGATTATTTCATAAGAAATTTACACGATGCTCTGTCCGGTCATACAAGTGCTAATGTTGCCGAAGCTGTACGCTATTCCGAAAAATCACGAACCAAATGCATTGGTATAACAATTGAAACTCGCCCAGATTATTGTCTTAAACGCCATATATCCGATATGTTATCGTATGGTTGTACACGTTTGGAAATTGGTGTACAATCTGTGTATGAAGACGTGGCGAGGGATACCAATCGTGGTCATACAGTTAAGGCGGTATGTGAAAGTTTCCATTTGGGTAAAGATGCTGGATATAAAATTGTGACACACATGATGCCCGATTTACCAAATGTTGACTTTGAGCGGGATATTGAACAGTTTATTGTGAGTAACCACTTTATTTATTAAACAAATATTTCTTTTAAAGATGTCTTTATTTTTAAGGAATATTTTGAAAATCCAGCTTTCCGTTCAGATGGCCTGAAGATATACCCCACATTGGTAATTCGTGGCACCGGATTGTATGAATTATGGAAAACTGGCCGTTACAAGTCATATCCTCCGTCCATGTTGGTGGATTTGGTTGCCAAGATTTTGGCTTTGGTACCACCATGGACTCGTGTATATCGTGTTCAACGTGATATTCCCATGCCTTTGGTTAGGTGAGGCAAAATAATCATTTGTTTAATTTCCTGAAATTTAAACTGTATTTCTTTACAGCTCCGGTGTCGAACACGGTAATCTGCGTGAATTGGCTTTGGCCCGCATGAAAGATTTGGGCACTGAATGCCGAGATGTACGTACCCGTGAAGTGGGTATCCAAGAAATTCACAATAAAGTCAGGCCCTATGAAATTGAATTAATTCGTCGTGATTACGTGGCCAATGGTGGTTGGGAAACTTTCCTCTCCTATGAAGATCCTGCCCAAGATATTCTTGTGGGTCTGCTGCGTTTGCGTAAATGTTCCCCGGAAACATTTAGACCCGAATTGAAGGAAGGTCAATGTTCTATTGTCAGAGAGCTGCATGTCTATGGCTCTGTGGTGCCGGTCAATGCCAGAGATCCCACCAAGTTCCAACATCAGGTAGGCTTTGTAGTTAGGAAATTATTGTGCATCGGTGATTTATTGTTTATTTTACCAGGGTTTCGGTATGCTATTAATGGAGGAAGCCGAAAGAATAGCCCGCGAAGAACACGGCAGTACCAAGTTAGCTGTTATTTCCGGTGTTGGCACACGAAATTATTACCGTAAAATGGGCTATGAACTAGACGGACCGTATATGTCAAAGAAAATCGCTTAATTATCGCTTGTGATTTGAAGTTATTCTTTTTTATTATTTTAATATATATACTACTACTTAAAATGTAAAATTACATATTTTTTTGTAAAATTCTATATCAAGAAGAATTGAAGGATAGAAGGGTAGGAGGAAAAAGAGATGAGTAAACAAAGATTCATATATTACTAAATATCAGCTTAAATCAGGTTATACTTAATTTGTTTGTGACAAAAAAAAATTTAAAGAAAGCTATTATCGTCATTTACACATAATTTCTACTATATTACACAATGAACAAATTGTATGAGTGCATTGTGATGCAGCGGAACGTTTCTCAAGAGTCGTAAAACTAAATAAACTAAAAATTAAAATCACACAATAGCCTCAGCTGAGCCAAAGACCACAAATATTATCCAGCCAACCAGGTTTATGCCGGCTGCTGCACTAAACACCATTGGCCAACTTTGTGTTACTTCGAGAATATGACCGGCCAAATAGACGCCCAGGAAACCCGGTATGGCGCCCACCGTGTTCATGAGGCCGAAAACACTGCCCGAATGAGATGGGGCCAAGTCTTGGGGATTTACAGTCACAGCATTGTTGTGGAAACCAGTGCCACCTGGAAATAATACGAAATAATGTTTGTTAATAAATTAATAATAATATTTAAATTACCTTTACTTACCAATAATCACTGTCATGCATATTAATGCTGTATGAAAGTCTGTTGTTCGGCTCATTATGAATAGAGCTAAATTTTGTGCAGCAAAACAGCAGCTTTGTATTATTTTCCTAACCGCCGACATGGACCATTCTCTTGCCAATAATCTACCAGTTAGATATTTGGCAAAAAATGTACTTGGCGGCAGAGCCAACCATGGAATCATATTTACCACCCAACCCTTGGCATGGGGAAATCCATCATGAAAATATGTTGGCAACCATGAGAGTAATACAAAGAAACAATTCATTTCACAGGCATGCGTTAGGACACACGCCCAAAATGATAATTTACTGAAATATTTTAACCACGGCACTGTATCCACATTGGCCTTATTAACACACAACCGTGATGGCAATGATACATTTATGATGCGATTACGTTCTCCAGCCATGGCATAATAACGCAATACCAAAGCCCAAGCAATGCCCATAAAGCCAATGACACGAAATACATATGACCAGCCAAAGTAGTCCAAAACAAATGAACCCAATATGCCGGTAAGTAATGTGCCAATGGCCGAACCCGAGGTAAGTAGACCGAAGAAACTTGTGCGTTCATTTGAGCAGAGATTCTGAAATGTAGAAAATTAAATTTTTGGAATACAGAACCGTTTTAGATATACCATCTATACTCACTTGACTTGTTAAACTAATCATACTGGGAAAATGAACACCCTGAAATGCTCCATTAATAATACGTACAGTAACGATAAATGGAATGGCATAACCTTTAGCATTTGGTGCCCACCATATTATATTGGGCATTAGAAATGTGATAAGTGACCAGCCAATTGCTGCAAACAGTATAACTCTTTGGCCTCCAAAGCGGTCACTGAAATAGCCACCAACCACCTAATACAAAAAAGGACAACAATGAATTTTTTTAAGTGGGACCACAAATATTTGCAAATTTCGAAAAACTACTTCCGAATTATACCATTTATGTATTACATTGTTCTTTATACTAACCTGTGTCAATGTATAACCCCAAAAGAATGAACTCAATACTGTTCCTGAATCAGTTTTGCTCCATTTCATTTCACCTGCCACCGCTGGTACCAGTAAGGGCATTGTGGTCCTTGTCGAATACAGCATACAAGTGCCGGTTATTAGGGTTATAAACCAAATACGTTTTTCATGACTAAAAGAAAAACACACACAAATAAAAAGTAAATACCGAAAATCTTTGCTCATAAATTTAAAATTAATACACCTACCGAGTCCATAATGATTGAGTATCTACTAGTTCATTTCTTAATAGAGAATATTTTAATTTCTCATCCATACTCATAATGGTAAACTTGTTTCTGCTGTTATATCAACAGCAGCTTTGGATTCCCAACGGGCAAATTCAGTCAGGATTTTTTGTTGGTCAGCTCAGAATATATGGAGTCATTTTTTATCGGAACACTTTTAAAATTTCTTTCTTCACACCGGCCAAGGTCGTGTAATGGACTTTGTTTTTATTCCTCCAGGAAGTTATTTTTCTTTTTATTATTTATAAAACAATTTAATTTGCCAATCCAATCCAAGATTTGCCACGACCACGACCGTTTTTCACTGAACGAATTAAGAAAGAAAAGGGAAATGGTAAAACGACTTATCTGTTTCGTGTTACGAATGACGAGATAAAGCAAAACAGCTGACTAGTGAACGACTACAGAACACAACAAAGGGAAAATAAAACAAATTTAACGGTAACAGGGATGATATTCTATAAACATGTTTACATTTGGTCCATTCCCGTAATTCAAGAATATACTACTTTTTACTACGATAACATATTTTCTTTTATGATGTCGAAAAATTATGAAAGCGGTGTACACACTATCATTTTTGACTGTCAGCTTTTTTATCGATTACTGACTGTCCAACAACCATAAATATGTTTGTGGTTGCCTGATGAATGACAAACATGTGAGGCCACACTATCAAACAAGCAAAATTTGAGCAAGAGTGCCATTCAAAAATGCTAGTGTGTACACCGCATAAAAACTTGTAGATTCTTGCAGTACGGGAACAAACCAATTATATACATTTATATGCTTATAATGATCAAATTTGGAGAAAAAATTTATGAACAATAAAAAATGAAATTTTTCATGCAATATGAAAATCAAAACATTTTTGATTTTAACAGAACATTTTTTTATTTCAAAAATGAACCCCTTTCAAACTGATTTTGGGAAAAAAACCATTAAAATAAAATAAATTTCAATTAAAAATTCAATTTTTATGAAAGAAAATGAACATCTAACACGAACACGACCCTGTACGAGGGTTTGGTTTTCTAAAAATTGAAAAAAAATGTTAAATAAATACAACATCCTGTTGTGTATATTTTTTTTATATCTGATGGAACAGGCTGCATCATACAGAGCTGCTTTTTGTTGTTCATCTCAATACATCCACAATTGGTATTTTCCTGTATTCATGGTAAAATTAAAAAATGGTATAGGTACGTTTAGATTTACGAAATCCACTCGATCTCAAATGCCATATGGTTGTTATATGGTTTGTTGTACAGCAACACTTTTATTATACCATTTCCCGTTCTCAAAATCTGGTAAATATTTTTAAATGCATACGTATCGAACCAAGTCATATTAATAAATTCATCCAGGGAGACAAGCTTGATATAAGCTGCTTCCCAAGTTTGCTGTCAAAACCCCTTTTTGTGAATTGACTTTCATTAAAAACGTGAACAAAGATTAATAGATTTTGAATCGTACATAAAATGGAATTTACATTACAACTTTTTACCGGGTTTAACTACTTTATGAGGATTTATTTGACATGTATGCAATGGAATTGACAATTTAAACCCACTTGTTAATTGTTGATATATGGTTTTTATATTTCACATTTTGCTCGACGTTTCGTTCGGGTTTTTCCAACATTTTCAAGAGCGGTTTTTATTGATATATTAACGAAATAAAAATTATAATTTCTTTTCAATATACTGCTTATTCTGAATATTGCACTTATTTTTTAACTTACGTTAGTTATTTTTCATTTTGTTTATTATTTACTTAAATTAAAAAACGGGACTCCACAACATTTAAATAAAATAAATAATATAATATCACAGTAAAAAATATACCACTTGGTTTACGAAATCCGGTACAATGTAAACGTACTATAATCAAGGATTATTAATATATTCATTAGGGAGACAAGCTGGATATCAGCTGCCTCTCAAGTTTGCTGTTACCATGTCCATTATTAAAAACTGACTTACATTATGAAAACGTAAACAAAGTCCAAATATCTTTTAATTCACAAATTAAATTTATTATATATTTTCCATTTTCGATTTTCTAAAGTGCAAGCAAAAAACATGCATCAAAAAGCTAATAACCATCAGCTGAGCTACAGGTTCAAAGTTGCGCAATTTTGCATTTCTAAAAATACCTTTTTGAAATTTCAAAATTCGAAAAGTTTTTATCTTCAGTTTGTGTAATATCGGCAATACTGTCAACGACGTATAAATATAGAGGCGTAGACTATGCTTTTAAAATTCACTCAATTACTAAATCGAGGTATCATTTTTCAGTCAATATTTTTATAATTCTAAGAGGAATTGTCTCCTTCCAATAATGCGTTTGAAACTTTTGGGCAATTTTTCAGACACCGATTCATCCCACAAATCATAAAACTCCTACTTACGGACGTTATAAAACTAATCTTTTTAACTACTGCATTACAGCTCCTTGCATAATGCTTTAACATAACAAGCCACAATAAGAATCTAACTCTTATACCAACGATATCGATTTTAGCAACATATGTATACAGTGAGAGTCAAAAGAAAGTGTACACGAATGATTATTATGTTCCCTGTTTCATATAAACCCTATCATGTAATATTTTATACAACAAATTATGTTTTTTGAAAATGGTATTTACCCCTCTCTTATTTTCTAAAAGAAAAATTAACAAAATTTTACAAATAGAAAAATTGCATAGCGAAAACAAAAAATAGTCCATATGTGACGCGTCAAAAGAAAGTGTACAACATGTTATTCCAATACTTGAGAGATTGGACACAGTTAGATTTTACCGTTATTTTTTCTTTTTTCCTTTCTGCTTGTTTTTCTTTTATTGGTTCTAATACTGTCAATGATTTAGTAGTGAATTGGTCAGCAACAATTGAAGTTTGAAGACATTCTAAAAAATTTTCCATAATGGGTAAACAAACTTCACTCGATACACGTGAGCTTATCATAAAATTTCACAATGAGGGAAAAACACTGCGTGAAATTGGTTTAACTATCGGCAGGTGCCACAATACGGTGAAAAAAATAATTGATAAGTACAAAAAGTTCCACAAATTGGAAAATCGTCCTAAATGTGGCAGGCCAAAAAAACTGAATGAGGTTCAAATACGATCGATTGTACGAAATGTAAAGAAAAACCCTGTAGAAAGTGCCGTTAAAATATCCAAAGAAATTTCAGAATCGTCTGGAACTACTGTTAGTGCCAGTACAATACGTAGAGCACTACACGCTAACGGGATTCATAAAAGGGTTCCAAGAAGAAAACCCTTAATATCCAAAACCAACCAAAAACGTCGACTCGATTTTGCTAATAAATATAAAAATAAAGATATTTCTTTCTGGAATAATATAATATTTAGCGACGAAAGCAAATTTGAAATTTTTGGCAAAAGGAAACCTGCTAAAATTTGGAGGACCAAAAACAGTGAATTTGCGGAACAGAATTTAGTATCCACTGTAAAGCACGGCGGAGGTTCAGTGATGTTCTGGGGATGCATGGCAGCTGGTGGAGTTGGTAACTTGGTTTTCATAGAAACCACAATGAATAAAATGGAATACCTTAACATTTTAAAGGAAAATTTGAAGCCTAGTGTTGAAAAGTTGCGCTTGGATCGAGGTTGGATCTTTCAACAAGACAATGATCCAAAGCATACTTCAAAAATAGTTAAGGAATGGCTGCTTTATCACACTCCTAAGCAATTGGATCACCCTCCCCAATCTCCGGACCTCAACCCAATCGAACATTTGTGGGAACATCTCGATCGCGAAATAAGAAAGAAAGAAATTCGTAGCAAGGACTCGCTCAAATCGGCTATATTGGAGGAATGGCAAAAAATTTCACGCGAAGTAACCGAAAATTTAGTCAATTCGATGCCGAGAAGATTACAGGCTGTAATTCAAGCAAATGGGAAGCAAACAAAATACTAATATATATATATTAATATATGAATTTATATATTAAGTTTGCATTGTACACTTTCTTTTGACGCGTCACATATGGACTATTTTTTTTTGCTATGCAATTTTTCTATTTGTGGGATTTTGTTAACTTTTCTTTTAGAAAATAAGAGAGGGGTAAATACCATTTTCAAAAAACATAATTTGTTGTATACAATATTACTTGATATGGTTTATATAATACATGGAACATAATAAACATTCGTGTACACTTTCTTTTGACTCTCACTGTATGTAAGTTATAACGACGGTATCCAGAAATTTGCAAAAAGTTTTTGGCCTTTATATGCCGCGGTCCCATAACCATTGTTATAAACGATTTCGACTGTATATATATTATTATATGGCTTGATTTGTTTCACAGATTCTCGCAGAAAAATAAATAAAATACTTATTATTTATAGATTTATCTTAAATAAAAAAATTTAAATTATATACATAAATAAATTATAAACGTTTTTCGTTCTACACAATTCATCCCCAATGTAAAGTCGACACAATACAACAGCTGTTTGCAAAAATACAAGGTGTAATGACGACCACCGGTTTTTTATTTTGTTGTGTCATCAATTTATAGTAAATGTTAAATGTCAGTTGCAAAAAAGAAGCAGCATCAGCTTGCATACATTTTTTCGCCGTGTCTTTTTTGCAAAAAGTTTTATAAGTTGTATAAAAAGATATTATTATTGTAAATTGTATAAATGAAATTATTGTCAATAGTGTAAGAAAAGTGTGTACAAATATGGCACCGTTTAAACGCCAACGTCAACCGAAAATGACCACACAAGCCCTGCTGGATTTTGACTTGGGCGAAAGTTCTTCAGACAGCGATTTTCAACCATCAAAGGATGATGAAGATGACGACGACGATGATGATGACGGTGGTGATAATTCTTCGAGTTCTGCTTCATCCTCGGACGAAGAGGACGACGATGAGGATAATGATGATAAGTGCGATACAGATGATTCCACGCTGCAGTTGAAACAATTATTAGCAGAGGCTACCGAAGATATTAAGGAGGACGACGAGAAGAAGAAAACAACAACATCAACAAACAAACAAACTGAGGAGTTAGTGAATGGTGTTGATAACATAGAAAGCGTGTTGAAAATATTAGATGCAAAACCGGTTACAAAACCCAAGATTCCCCTCAAACCGATTTGTTGTGTATGCTTGGGTGATCGCAGTGATGATTCCAATGAAATTGTGGAGTGCGATGGTTGTGGCGTTTCTGTCCACGAAGGTTGCTATGGCGTTAGTGATAATAATAGTATATCCAGTACAAACTCAACCTGCTCTACGGAGCCATGGTTTTGTGAAGCCTGTAGGGCTGGCGTATCAGAACCAACCTGCGAACTATGTCCCAACAAGGGTGGCATCTACAAGGAGACGGATGTTGGAAAATGGGTACATCTGGTGTGTGCGCTCTATGTCCCAGGTGTGGCGTTTGGGGAGGTGGATCAATTGTCATGTGTTACACTGTTCGAAATGCAATACAGTAAATGGGGAGCAAAACCGTGTTCACTGTGCGATGATGCCCGATTTTCCCGCACCGGTGTTTGCATAGGTTGTGATGCTGGAATGTGTAAGACCTACTTTCATGTGACGTGTGCCCAGGCAGCAGGTTTCCTTACGGAAGCCCATCACGAGGACACCGATGCTGCTGACCCCTTTTACGCCCACTGCAAGGTACATTCTGAAAAGGAATTAATACGCAAAAGAAAACGAAACTATCATACATTCCGCATGAACATGGAGGAGAAACAACGGGAAAAGGCACTACACAAACTTGATGATCCCTGTCCCGCACAAATGCGCATCAATCGCAAACTCCAAAAGTATCAAGTAAAGTATACAAATCACAAACAGTCTCGACCAGAACCATGGGTTCCCACCCAGAAAATGTCTCGCATGATAACTACCTCAGCATCAGCGTGCACAAGACTTTTAGCCAAAGCCAAGGTAATGGATGTTGATGTAGACCTACTGGAAGAGCAGGATATGCAAATCCAATCGATAACTGATATCCGCAAGAAGTGGCATATAGCTCCAGCTTTTAATGTTGAGTTCGTTGCGTACTATATAGATCGTATATCTCGCACGAAGGAGCTGAAAGAACAATTGACGGAAATGATGTCAAGAAATTCTACGCTCACAAAGGAACAAGGCCAACTGCGTACGGAGTACGATGGCCTGTTGGATAAGAATAAAGAATTAAAAGCAAAGCACGAATCTCTGATAAATTCCATATCACAAATGCAGACGCACATTAACTCCCTGTGTCCGAACAAAAATCTGCCAAATCCACTAAATATAGGCAGACCCGTTAGTGAAGATCAAGCGAAGGCCTGCACACCGCCATATCGACCGATTAGTGTTCCCACAGCGGCAGCTTTGAAAATGGGAGTTGGATTTCCATTGGCTCGTTTGGGTCATCCCAATACTAAGGGCGACAATAATAGACTGCTCAGTACACAGGCAATGGACTCGCCATCCCTTGCCTGTAATTCCACACCTATAACAGGTTTCTCACCTTCATTCCTAAGTCAAAAACACAAGACCCCTTCTAACCTACACCATCATCTGTCAACGTCTCCGCCGGTTGAAACCCACAACTGTGGCATCTGTAAGAAATCAACAGATCAGCATTTATTGGCAAAGTGTGATACGTGTAAATTATACTATCATCTCGGTTGTTTAAATCCTCCGCTAACACGACATCCCAAGAAATCGAAATTATATGGTTGGCAGTGTTCCGAATGTGACAAGTCCGATCAATCCGATGGTCTGCCCGAACTGCCTAAAGGGCCAAGAAAATCACGAACCCGTTTCAACAAAGATGGTATTATTGTGCCGGTATATAAGAGCTGTACGCCGCCGCCACCATGTAATGAAGATTCTTCTGCGCAACATTTGAAGAATTCGAATACAGATACTAGTGCAGCAGGTCCTGGGCCAGCAAAAAGACGTTCCTTAGATAATAATCAAATAACAAATGTAAATTCGCTAGTTTCACCAACTTCATCATCATCATTTAAGAAACTCTTGAACAAATCATTACCGAATGTCATCGAAATACCAACAACGGATAGAACAGAACCGCCGAGTGTTATTGTTGGTTGTACTAATAATAATAACAACAATAACGACAGTTCTGATTCCATTACACCGAAATTAAGTAAAAAGTCTAAATTAAGTTTAAATTATTCATCAAAATCAATGGCATCGCAACAAGATTTACTACAACACCCGCCAACCAATAAACAACAACAACAGCAGCAGCAACAACAAGGAATTGTAAATAAAGAAAAACATGTTTCAAAGCTTTCAAAATCGAAAGCAGAAAGTAAGTTATTTGAATTTTTGGTATTTTTTTGTATTATTTTTATTTGAAATTGATTGGTCTGCTCGAGAACTGCCCGAGAGATCTCATAATGTATATTTATTCTGGAACAGTATATCAACGTTTGGGCACAGTACACCACATAACGCTATATTTAAGTATTATGGGAATTTTTCAATATCATACCAACCTGGGCTTCTTTCGTAGAAAATCAGGAATATATATACATAACTAGGACAGTTTAAAGTAGTATCCTATAGAAGAGCAAAGCTTTTTATAAAAGAGCAGAAGTTCATTTTCTATAGAAACGCAAAATAAATTATATTTCAGGAAGTCGAAATGAATTTTTTTCTAGGAGTGAAGAATACCTTCTTCTCTGAAGTTCGCCTTATCAAAAAAATTTGAAAATATTTAAATATAGAAGATCAAAGGTTTTCTCTATAAGCACATATGGTATTCTCTATGAGAGAAGAGGGTATTCTCTAGACAAACTTAAAGACAAACAGAAAGTTTTCTCTAGAAGAGCTAAAGGTCTTATCTACAAGAGCAGAGAGACTTCTCTTGAAAATAAAAGGCTCTTTTCTAAAAGAGCGGAGGGTCTTCTCCAGAAGAGCAGAAGCAGAGTCTTCTCTAGAAGAACAGAGGGTCTTCTATTAAAATTCATTGAGTATTCTCTAGGGTTTTCTCTAGAAGACCTGAAGGTCTTCTCTACAAAAGATGAAGGTCTTCTCTAGAAAAGCAAAGATTCTTTTCTAAAAGAACAGAGTTCTTTCTCTTGGAGATGAGAGTGTCTTCTCTAGAAGAGCGGGAAGTATTCTATGTAAGTGCAGGTCTTCTCTATGAGAGCACATCTTCTCTAGAAGAGGAGAGGGTTTTCTCTAGAAGAGCAGAGTGTCCTCTCTGAAGAGCAGAGGGTTTTCTTTAGAAGAGCAGAGGGTCCTCTCTGAAGAGCAGAGGGTCTTCTCTAGAAGAGCAGAGGGTCTTCTCTGGAAGAGCAGAGGGTCTTATCTAGACAAATAAAAAGTTTTCTCTATATGAGCTGAGGGTCCTCTCTACAAAAGTGGGGATACTTCTCTAGAAATGCAAAGGCTCTTTTCTAGAATAACATAGTGCCTTCTCTAGAAGTTCAGAGGGTTTTCTCTAGAAGAGCTAAGGGTATTCTCTAGAAGAACGGAAAGTTTTGTCTAGAAGAACTTAAGATCGTATTCTCTAGAAGAGTAGATGTTCTTATCTATATAAACAAAGTTTTCTCTAGAAGAGAAGGTAGAAGGTCTTCTCTACAAGAGCAGGGAGTCTTATCTAGGAAAGCAAAGGATCTTTTCTAGAAGAACATAGTGTCTTCTCTAGAAGATCCGAGGGTTTTCTCTAGAAGAGCTAAGGGACTTCTGTATAAGATCAGGTAGAAAAGAGGTGTTCACATAGAATGTGAACACCTCTTCTCTAGGAGAACAAAAAGGTTCTAGAGAGGATATGCTGTAGAAGAACGTAAAGTTTTGTCTAGAAGAACGTAAGGTCTTCTCTAGAAGTTGATCTCTAAAAGATTTATTTTTATATTTCGCTATAGAAAGAGGATATGAATTCCATTACAGCATAGCTGAATAATTTTTCTATACTTTTATTTCAATTCAGCAACGCTGATTTATGGTTTCCATATGAAATCTTCAATTTAAACCAGCTCAATAAGATTTTCCATAGGAAAACTTAATTTCAGCCCAGCAGAATTAGGTTCCTGGAGGAAAACTTTAATACTGGCCTGGCTGAATTAAGTTTCTCATGGGAATACTTCAATATCAACCAGTTGAATTAGAATTAAATTCTACGCAGTCATGCTAAGTTAGGAATTCAGTCGGAGAGTAAGAGAATTTCAGCCCACATTTTGTTTTTGAACCAAACTTTTTTTACTTTATATAAAACCCATATTTTATTATTAAACAATATACATATAATATTAATATCTGACTTTTATTTTAGATACTCATTCATCGCCGTTGTTGACATCATTGCCTAACGATAACGAAGCATTAGTATTAGTTACAACACCCAAATCATCTTCTACGCCAATACCTGCTATTGCGAATACTGAACCATTGAAATTGCCTTGTGCTAGCAGTACCACGACAAGTCTCAATCCAAACAACACCACCAGCAACAACAATAATTCTAATGCCGCCACATCTACTGAAGAAGCAGCCACAGATGTAAATACCAAACAATCCCGCAAACAAAAACGAAAAGAAAAACACAGAAATAAACACAATCTTTCATCGGATACGGAAAGATCGACGAGTAAAGAGCATAAACGCAAGCGTAAAAAGAAACAACATGATTTGGAAGCACCACAAGATACAATGGCCGGAATTCCTAAGATAAAAATTAAATTCAAAACATTACCGCTTCCCGGAGAAGATACACCGGAAGCACAATTCTTTTACGTATCTGCCGATATGGTGCGTTCCGCTGATGAGGCCTCTCGGCCGGGTTCAGTTGAAACAATTGAAGATTTAACTCCGGCGGCTGTATTACCGGACGATCCTGCTTCACTCACCCACAAACAACACAATGCCACACCTACCCGTCCCCATTCCGTTAATACGTCGAACACAAAGAACATACAGAGTTCACCAAGTACTGTAGCAACAAATACTTCTTCTTCTCCCATCAAAACTTCCCCACGCAAAAGTAGTCCACGAAAATCGAAACTAGCAAGAACATCACTCTGCGGAAGACCCAGTACGGGTGGTGGTTGTCGTTCCAAGACTACACCTCAACAAACGTCTAATCAGGTGCTCACTTGTTGTGTCTGCCAATCGAATGGTACATCAACGAATATGGTTACGTGTGATGAATGTCGCAAACATTATCATTTCACTTGCTTAGATCCGCCACTAAAGAAATCTCCAAAAATACGCGGTTACTCTTGGCACTGTGCGGATTGTGATCCCACTGACGAAGAGAAACACTAATTATTGATCTTTTCATACAGTATTTCAAACCATTTACTTAACACTTCTTCAAAACAAAACAAAAGAAATTCTATTCTTATTATTATTCAATGACACAGGTTCAAATAATTATTGCTTTTTTTCTGAATCTTTAGATGGTTATATAATTATATACTATGATGCATGACAACCGATTTGAGATCGGTTTTAATTTTATTTAATATTAGGTTCTTCACAAACAAATAAATTTTACATTTTAACAATAATAATCAAATTAAAAACAACAAACGGGAGTGTTTCATTTATTATTTAAGTTTTTAATTAACTATAAATAATATAAGAGAACTTTAAATCAGTCAGCGGGATTAGTTTTTCTGAAGAAATTTTTCAATTCAGCCCAGCTGGATTTGTTTTTCTATAGGAAAACTTCAATTCAGCCCAGCTGGATTAGTTTTTCTATAGGAAAACTTCAATTCAGCCCAGCTGGATTAGTTTTTCTATAGGAAAACTTCAATTCAGCCCAGCTGGATTAGTTTTTCTATAGGAAAACTTCAATTCAGCCCAGCTGGATTAGTTTTTCTATAGGAAAACTTCAATTCAGCCCAGCTGGATTAGTTTTTCTATAGGAAAACTTCAATTCAGCCCAGCTGGATTAGTTTTTCTATAGGAAAACTTCAATTCAGCCCAGCTGGATTAGTTTTTCTATAGGAAAACTTCAATTCAGCCCAGCTGGATTAGTTTTTCTATAGGAAAACTTCAATTCAGCCCAACTGGATTAGTTTTTCTATAGGAAAACTTCAATTCAACCCAGCTGGATTAGTTTTTCTATAGGAAAACTTCAATTCAGCCCAGCTGGATTAGTTTTTCTATAGGAAAACTTCAATTCAAACGAGTTTAATTAGGGTTTCTTTAGAAAGACTTCAATTCAGCCATGCTGGATTAGTTTTTCTATAAGAAAACGTCAATTCAGCCCAGCTAGATTAGTTTTTCTATAAAAAAAACTTCAATTCAGCGCAGCTGGATTAGTTTTTCTATAGGTAAACTGTAATTCAGCCCAGCTGGAATAGTTTTCTATAGGTAAACTTTAATTCAGCCCAGCTGGATTATTTTTTCTATAGAAAAAACTTCAATTCAGCCTAGTTGATTAGTTTTTCTATAGGGAGATTTCAATTCAGCCCAGCTGGATTAGTTTTTCAATATCATAACTTCAATTCAGCCCAGCTGGATAAGTTATTTTAAAGAGAAACTTCTATTCAGCCCAGCAGATTTAGGTTTTCTTTATAGGAAACCTTCAATCCAGTTTACTTGTATTATTTTTTAAGAAAAACTTTAATTCTCCTTTTGATTACGGTCTTCATATTTTTTCAAATAACGAATAAATATAACGTTCAATCGACACTACATAATTAACCATCCGTGGAACTACTAAAGTAATCGAAACATTTAATACCGATTACATTAACATCACCAGCAATACAAACTGAACCGATCAGCTGTTTGATTTGACATTTGCTCATATTGTTTTTTTCTGGCCAGGAACAGAATTCGCCACTGTGTTATTTTGCTGTGTTTCGACGACAATTTCACACATAAAATTCAAACAAGATGCGTGTCTCTGTTGCTAGATTGACCAAAATGGGTCCCAAATTGAAGGAATTACGCCTTCATTTGTGTCAAACTGGTGAAGCTTCCAAGGGTGCCCGGTAAGTTAGAAACTGCGGCAAATCATTTTCTTATTTGAGGTTACATAATATTTGGAAAAAAATCAATTAAAACATATCCTTTTTGTTGGGTCTTTCTTTCAGCGAATACGTAGAACGTTTCTATCCTGCATTGAAGAAGAGCAATCCTGAATTGCCAATTTTGATTAGAGAATGTGAAGGTGTTCAACCTCGTTTGTGGGCTCGTTATGGTAAGTTGCGTGTGTGCGGGAGTGTTTGGAAGTTATGGGATTCATATAAATGTTCGTAATGCCCTCATCGCAACATTATAATTGTATAAAGGGAATTGTGAACTTCACGAAGTAAAGTTGGATTTGACATCGGTCAAGGGAGAAAATTATTGACCAAAGGCCGTTACCCATAAAAAATATTTAAATTAAAACGAACATTCTGTCGTGTTTCAACTGACATGCCGGAAGACAGCCCAGTCGAAGGGCTGGTATTTGAAATGAGATTAATCACATATATGCGATTCAATTATACTTCCCAGTAGACATGACTTCTTAAAAAATATATATATAAATATATTGTGTTGTCGGTTTAATTTTAGACCCAATGAGAAAAGGCAAGGATCCGAAACCGAAGTTTTATGGTCCATATCATGACCATATATCAAATAAATCGTTTGCATCGTCTACGCGCTTAAAATTAACTTCAGAATAAAATGTCCTTACAGACCTTATCGGGCCATTAGAACGGATTATGCATGCAAAAGTCATTTTATATCGGCTCAGGAATGTCTCAGTTATAACCATTTGATTATTCGAAAGGCTTGTATCTGGGGAATAGATTATCTAAAGAAAACTTATTGTAATCAGGACACAAGATCTACATTTTTTGAAAAAATCCGATGGTGGACAAGACATAACGGATTTTGTTCAACGTTATATGGTGTTATATTAGTCAATATAAATGTAAATATTTCAATTAGTATTGGAGATTCGGACAAGACAAACGTATTCATGATCTGATGAAATTTCGGACTTTCGCAGAATATTGCTATCCCCACCGCTTACTTTCAATGACAAACCAATAAAAAATCTGCCCTCAATGGAAGGCTCAAGTCGTGCTCAGTTTTACCTGAACAAATGCAAATACTTTTTCGTTACCTTTATGGTCAACAATGGTTTTAATTTCACCTTTGTCGCTAGGCCTTTGGGTGATATTTTGTTTCGGGATGTTCTCAGTAGCCTTTTCCTTTGCCTTTTGAATAGGGCTAGGCTTCAGATCAGAAGTCGGCTTACCTTTGTCAGAGACAGTGGGCTTCGCCGATTACACTACTTCATTCGATTTAGAGGTATCCTTGGAGGTTCTTAATCGAGCAGTAGGGTTTGGGAGGGAGATCCTGTCCATATGGAATTCACGATAGAGAACTTCTTTACGAATCTCATCTTGCCCTTAATGAGGTGGACCTACATCTCCACTGTCCGCTGCTGGCGTCTCGACAGATACCCCATCGTTGGACATCGCCTCCATCGCAAATTACCTCTGAAGTTTATTGTCGGCAAGAGCTAACACAGGACCTGTTGAAATCAGATTTAAAGTCTGTCGATCAACAGGGTCTGCGCTTACTTCGTTTATGCTACAAAAATCCCCCCTGTGTAGACTTGGCTGGGTCAACGTGGTGTCCAGCTCATCATCAGTCAGGGTGAGATTTAGTAGTCCCTCCGGAAGCGTATCCCCACATTGCTCTTCCGGTATGAGTCTGTCTAACTGGTCGAAGATTCCCTTACTTTGCTCCTCTAAACTATCGCGGATAGCGTTAAGAGTCCCCTTCCAGAACTACAGTCCTGTCAGTCAGTTACTGATTTTCATCAGTCCTGACTTGCTCGTTTGTCAATGAAATTGCCGGTTCGTCAACTTTCGGTTTCGAATACAGCTGCAGGTGCCAAGGCATCCACACCTAGAACAGCCGGATCACAATCGCTTGATATCGACGACACGTGGCTTGTGATGATATATACATTAATGGTCTCCGACCAAGTTTTCGTGATGTTGCAAACGGATTGACAAATTTAATATATTCCTCACCTTATAGTGTAGGGTATTCATATTCGAATTAATAGAAAACATATTGAATAAGATATCCAATTTATCCGACACAATTTATAAATTGTTTTTAACGAATTTTTTCTTTCTTTTGTTTTAGCTTTGGGCAAAGAAACCTCTGTACCAGTGACAAATCAATCGGCACAAGACATTCAAAAGCACGTCGAAGCATTGGGCAAATAGATTGCAGGCTATTGCAGGCGAAAAATGTATTCATTCGATATAAGTCAATAATATTGTAAAGAAAAAAATAAAAGAAATAAATAAAACTTGATGTTTTCACAAATACTATGTTGCACATTTATTCAATAGATTCTCAATTTCATTTAATCTACTTACATACGTTACGTTAAGCTAAGCTTGACATACATTATTCCAGTTTTTTTTTTGTTTTTTTTTTCAGAAAAAAGGTACATTGTTTTCATCATATTTCTAAGTTGTTTTTCAGCTACTAATAGTTTGGACGACATACACACCACACATCAAAAAAGCATTTATGGTAAGTTTTACAAAACAATTACAAATTAATTAAGTGTTGCCTTGAAAATCGTACAGGATTTCTTTTGATTTCTAGATCATATAGAATGTTATATTTTTCGTTAATTATCGAACGGTGGTAGACCAAACAATTCCGGTTGAAATTGTTCCAATGATAGAATTCTTTGTGTAGCCAGGGCGCACATTTCCAATGGAACACGTTCATCGGGCACCATAACCACCTGCATACCAGCACTGTGGGCACCTTTAACACCGTTGGGAGCATCTTCGAAGACCAGGCACTGCGAGGGATCGGGTTTATCGGGGAAACGCGAGGCAGCAACTAGGAAAATGTCAGGTGCAGGTTTGCCCTGTTTAACGTCAGGATCCGTGGAACCACATACCCGATGATGAAATAATTTAAATATTTCCTGATGATGGGTAATTTTGATCTCAACCATATCCTGACCAGAACTTGTTGCCAAACAGAATGGAATATTGTGTTTGTGTAAATGGCGTAGTAGTCGTTCAGCGCCTAGAAAATAATGATTTTATTTTTAAAATTACTTTTTACTAATTTTTAAATCTAAAAGTAATATTTTAATATTATTTTAATGTTATTAAATTGCAAGCAATATAATTATAACTCTAATTATATTTTATTGTATTCATGCAAGAATATTGTTAACGATCATTTAACAAATTTTCCACAAAAATTATTGCACGGACAAGAATTTTTATCAGGGATGGTTTCCGACGTTTCCGGCGTATGTATTATACATCGGAAATGTACGTCATTTACGTCACAGTTTCTGACCGATCATTTCTAATTTTTATATAGATTAAGTTTTTTATTATTTTTGTATAAATATAAATTCTTATAGATAACTAATATGAATGGATATATAAGAATTAAGATATAGTATAGAATGGGGAGCCTGCGCCAGTGGGGTATTTCAGCCGTTGAAAGCTTCAGCATTGGACAAAATATTTGCAACTTGAATAAGAATTTGATAATTTATTTATGATTTATTACTAATCAAATAAAAGGAACCTCTTCTGCGATATTAAATAAAAAATATGATAATTTCTTCTATAGATAAACATTTTTTAAACTTAAGGTAAACAAAGTCACTTCTTCAGTAACACAAAACAATTGCAACATAGAAATATTTCAGGGTACAATATTAATTTGATTAATATTTCGTAGCGAAACTGTGGATAGCATACCAAGCAATTTTTATCCGATTGAAAATTCGTCCGAGTTTTGGACGTTATTAGGTCAATCCGCTGTTTTACAACTGACCAAAGATTTTCTATTGGGTTCAGGTCCGATGATTAATATTATTTTGCCTAAACCATGTTTTTGTAGGACCATTTATCCATTATTTCCTGAGTTCTATGAAGTGAGCCCAAGCCATTAGCAGAAAAACATGCCCAGGCCATGACATGACCGCCTCCATGTTCACACAAGATTCTTTTTGTACTCGTTTTACTTTTGGTCGTCTAAAACGCGTTATGCCGTCACTAGCAATAATGTTGAATTTTGATTCGTCACTGAAAAAAAAACGTTTTTCCATTGGTTCACTGTCCAGCTTATATGTTCTTGAGCGAATTGCATTCGTTTCAATTGATTACGCTTTGTTATTAGAGGCTTCTTAGCTGGTCGATAAGCTAACAATAAGACGTCTCGAAACAGTTCTCGCGCTTACTGGAATATTAAATTCTTTTAACAATGCTGGACGATTTAAAAGTACATTTTTTAATCGCTCTTACAAATAACACTTCGGTTCTTTTTTCAGTTTTTCGAGGCCGACCGCTTTTGCTGATAACCTCCACAGAATTTTTTAACGTGATAAAATTCGAGAAAGTAATGATTTGTGCACATTGTATTTAATTGGCAGTTCTTTTTGAGAAATTCCTTGATTGAAATATTCAACAATACGTCTTTGTAACTCTTTACCGAACTTATCTGGTGCCATCTTTATCGAAATGATGGCTAATCCAACTAGTAATTTAAATAAAATATTTGTGCAACTAAAGGCAAGTGAAATTGTGTTACCAATTTATTACGAATTGGAACAAAACAAAACTAAAAATAACGGTTAATTAACATTGATGTAAGAATCTGTAAGAGTTGCAATTGTTTTGTCACATGATAATACTAGGTCGATTCACATAATATACTGAAAAAGTACCACTTAACTACATATGGACCAAAAAAATTATTAAGTTATTACTGGCATATTCAGAAACTCGAAATCACAAAACCAGTTTAAATGCCGAAAATATTCTAATTTTACGAACCAAAACATGTATTACTAATGTTAGTTGCAAATGTTTCGTTCCATGCTGTACATCTTAAATATTGAATACACTATATGGTCCTTTTTAAAAACTTTGGAAATTAATAATATATTTTTTAAAGAAGAAATAATATTATTTCAAATTCGGGATATTTGTAAAAAAAAAAGTTTAAAATAAATGGGCGTGTACTCCCAATTCTACACTACTGTAAATCTTCAAGAAATATATAGATTAGAAAATGTATTCAATGGATTAATCTCCAAAATGAGCATTTAAAAATTTATCTACGAACGTAAGTTCTGAAATATACATCCTATGAAGATATTTGCAATACGAGTATGTTGTTTTTATAAAATATATCTTTTTCATATAAACAAAACTTCATAAAATTTCAACTATTGATGTTTAGATTTCTACTGAGACTATCACTATATATTATGTTAATATTATAAATATATGTTTTATATATGGTTTTATATATATACCATTGCTAATAATAATCTTACTTTGTTAAATATATATATATTATACGCTTATTAATTGTACAAAAAAAATATTATAAAGAAAACGGAAATCAAAAGGCAAATAACGTATTGCAACACACAGAGCAAGACATCATATTTTACTCTTAAATTGCAAATAGTTATAAATTATATTAATGAAAACAATCAAACCAAATCCACGAAAAAGGTCATAGAAGTATATAGTATAAGCTATGTACATATGTATTATGTGTACTAAATATTAAAACTACAAATACAAAAGGTAAAACAACTTTTAAGTTGGATAGAACGGCATTGATTGCTCTACAGTTTTATCTATCCATCAAACTTAATTATTGCCCTCATAATTATATTAACGTGCCATAAAAAAACAATGTGTATAAATTACATCCATTATACAACAATAGGAAAAAAACATTAACGCCTTTGCAAAAAAATGTCGTCTAACCTTTTTTCATTGGACAATCGGCTAAACGTTCCCTGCATAATTTATGGAACTTTTGTAAAAATTCCTCCGTCGTTATGGGCAAACCTAAATCCGTAACAACAATTTCAGCTGTACGTGGTTCAGTAGTACCCAATAGCTTGAGACGTGTTTCAATTGGATATGGTTTATCGTATTCTTGTGCTATTTGCCTTATGACTTCCTCGTATATAGATTCAGTATCTGTGTTGTATGTGTGTATTCATGTTGATACAACAGCAGCAGCACAAACGGCCGGCATTTTTTTGTTTGGTTAAAGATAAAAAGAGAGAAAAAAGCAAAGAAAAAATATTAGTTTTGTTTTGTCAAATAATCAATTACCTGGCATTAGTTGGGCATTTATCATTATTTCCGAATTTATCTGCTTTTGTAATTTCGAATATTCCTCGGGTGTAATGGGTAGTTTGTAGGCATCGACAATTTTACGACACATATCCATGTGTACCATACCCATTAGAGATAATTTTACATCGAATGTATAAACTTGATCACCGAACATATTAAGGATTTTCTGGGTGGCATCTGTATACAAACGTTCAGTATCTGTGATGTGCAAAAGTATTTATTAAAATGTTTTCAATTTAAGCTCTAATTAAATTCATATATATTTGTGTTTATATTTTATTAAATAAAACCCACACTCATTCTATAACATGATAACATTAAATTTTGAGTTAAATACAAATGAAGCTTGAAATTGATTTTTATGGAGGGTATATTCATTCTGTCATTCCGCTTGTAACTGATCGAAATATTTATTTCCGACCCTATAAAGTATATATATTCTTGATCAGGATAAAATTCTAAGACGATCCGTTCGTCCGTCTCTTGTAATCACGCTATTTTCTGAAGGAATTGAGATAGATCGCCCAAATTTTGCATAGGCAGGCCAAGTTCGAAGATGGGCTATATTGGTCAACGTTTAGGCATAGCCCCCATATAAGGTTACCGCCCAATTTTCGATATTTTTGGGTTCTTGAGTGCGAATACGCTGGTTCTTTTTGGGTACCAAATGTCTCCACTAAAAGTTATAAATATCGGTCCACCTTTTCTGGTAGCCCCATATAACGGTACCCCCGATTTACGGTATTTTGGGATTCTTGGCCGCGTTTTCCAACCGAATTCGGTGGTACATTGGGTTCTTTTTGGATACCAAATGTCTCCACTAAAAGTTATAAATATCGGTACACCTTTTCTGGTAGCCCCCATAAAACGGTACACCCCCCCCCCCCCCCAAGCGCGTTTTTAAACCCAATTCGCTGAAATTTGGTACAATGGGTTCTTATTGGGTACCAAATTTCTCCACTAAAAATTATGAATATAAGCCCATTTTTCGGGTAGCCCCCATAAAGGACACCCTAAATTTTCGGTATTTGGGGTTTTTGAGCGCATTTTTCTACCGAATTAGCTGTAATTTGATATTTGATAGTCGCATATGGTAATAAATCTGCCTACAAAAAATTATTAATATTCGCCCCCTTTTTGGGGGCGAATATTAATATATTAAAATAGTTAGCTGATTAGTTCCGTGTGTGTGTTAGCTGATTAGTTCCGTGTGTAGGGGTTGTCCCCATATAGGCGTATTCTACCATAGTATAGGGGATAGTCGTTACTCGAATTAGTCAGTTTTAAACTACAAATTATGGAATTCTAAGACGATTTAGCCATCGGTTGTAATCATTCCGCTTTCTAAGGAAATCGTGATAAAAAATTCGAACCTGACTATAATGAAATATATCGGCCAGCATTTAGGCATCTCCCCCATATAATTTTAACTCCTGGGTTCGAAATTGACATATTTCGGTCATTAATTAGGCATAGCCCTCCTACACTATGTAATCTAAATTGCAGTACTTTGGGGATTGTATATTCCACCATGCTTTATAAGTATCAGTCCACGTTATGGGGTCTTCATTAAAAATTGCTGAACTTTGTATTTGGTGTAAATGATCGGTAAATGTTATGTACCCTATATTTTCATTTCAAGTATCTGTCAGTATACCTATGGTGGAGGGTATCAAAAGTTCTGCCCGCCCGAACTTAACGCTTTTTCACTTGTTTTTTTTTTTTTTAATTTTTATACAGACAAACAAAATTGGACCTTTGATATCGAGACAATACGTTTATGACAACGACACATAGGTATTAAAAATTGTGTTGAGATAGGTCATTTAAAGAAGTTTGTTTTATAAATCGAACAAATTGATTGTAAACGAATTTCTTCTAATTGGAGTTCAATATATTATTTTTGGAATTACCGTAAAAAGACTACTAATCAAATCCATTTTGGCGGGAATATCGGAAATTTTCATATAAAAAATTATTAACAATTTAGAAGGTCACTTCAATATATCTTATCAAATATGAGAATGGCAAATGAACATGCACTTCATTGATGTTTGCCTTGTGAAATACCTACACATCTACAGGTAATTCTGAAATACAAATTTACAATTAAAAAAAATTGTAACACAATGATGCCTTAGATTTCGATTCATTGCACCATATTTATTACATCATTGTGAGGGGGTGGGGGTTAAAGAAGTTCTCTATAAGTTTTCCCAAAATAAAATATGCCACGTCAGAGAAAATGCTACAAACAATTTTTAAGATATAATTAAAGTACCTACAAGTGAACTATTAATAAAAAAAAACTTCGCCCGTTATATATTATTCATACTTACATATTTACACATAAGGAAAAACATTGCATCAAGGTTAATACCGCTATGTTTGTATGCTCATCCTCAATGAACAGGAAAAGGCCACAACAACAAAAAAAAACATTGAATTGAAAAAAAGAAACTTACCCAGAAGCAATCCATCCATATCAAAAATGCAATGGGTTACTTTCTTAAATTTTGTTTCCGACATCTTCTCTTCCAAAATGAAATCCTCACAAATGCACCAATGGAAAACTTAAATAATTTTTATAATAAACTACAATGGAAAAATTGTAATTATGATGTAACAAAAAAAGAAAATACACGGAGCACTAACTATCGTTGTTGTTTTTTGCGGAAATTTGTGAATAGGAATGATTAAACGTTTTGCTTTCTTGTTTGTTTTTAGTTGCGCCTTTATGACACAAATGTAATAAATATGTCAAGTTTACTTTTTTCCGTTCAGCGATTAGCGAAACAATTTTCCGTAGATACCGCCTTGTTGATGACCTGATGATTTTTCAAGTTTAAGGAAAAATTATGACTCTTCGTAACTTGTTCTCACTGCAAGGTCAATTGGTCACTATGCCAACAATTCTTAATCCTTTTTTCAGCATTCACAACAGAAAACAGCTGATTGTTCAGTGCTGCGCTGCTGCTGCATATAGGTGTGTTCAAAAGCACATTTTGTATAGTATGTGACATGGGTCTGTTCGTATAATATTTCATATAAAAATATTAGGTATTTTTTATGACTCCAAAAATACAAGTTAGGAAAGACTTTGACAGTGAATATTATTATATCAGATTGTGAATATTATTAAATTTTAAAGAAAATACCATATCGGGAATATCTATCAATGGATTAAAATATTTTTTCTAAAAATTCACCAATAAAATTTAAGGCAGTTAGTCAGTAGCCACACGTGCAAAATTTCATGACAAATTTTCTTCTCAATTTCTTTAATAATTGCATTGTTGTTTAGACACGCAAATAACCCTTGCATCAAATTTATGAATTTTCTTATTCTTCCACACACTCATTTTCTCGTTTGACCATTGTTCATGAAAATTAAAAAAATGGAATTAAAAGAAAAAAAAAAAGAAATTGTAAAAGGAACTCTTGAATTACTCGACAGACATATTATGTTTATTTTTTCCTCGCAAAAGGTTTTAATTTTATTAACTGCCTTGGCGTTTGTTTGCCGACAGAAAACATAAAATGAAAGAAAATGCAAAACTTTTCTGCAGCCAACTTCAGTTGTTTACAACGAATAACGAAACAAAAGAGAATTGCGGAGTACAAGTATGTATGTACCCCCTTTTATTCCTCTCACCTCTTTCGCCCATAAACTCAATTTACTTTACCACAAAATTTGCCCGTATGACTACTGACTTACGAAAATGTAAGTATTTATTAGGATCATGGTACAATTATACAAGCCCTGTAGGAAATGTCTGCAGTAAAACACTACTGACTTACTATTGACATTGTCAACAATACTATTGGCCGACTATACCCAACTCAATGCATTTTACTATTGACATTTAACATGTGCTTGTCATTGAAAATGAACTAGTGACATGGTCAGTATCTGAAAGTGTTTTATGCGAGTACCTGCCCATAGGCCTACCTCGCAGTGGCTGAGCCACAGGCGGATATGCGCCCACCAGCGCACCAGCACCAAAGTACTGTACCCATCGGAGAGCATGCAGAAAGCATACTCTCCCCCTTGGTGAGGGGCGAAACCACAACCCCCGCGAAGCTCCCCAGGGGGCCACACCAACTGTCAGGCTGGATCAACAGATCCCGGGGCACCTGACACCCGCGGTACGGAAAACCTCCCCTCAGGCTCGAGACCGAAGCCTCTCCCAGTTCGACACAAGTCCGGGCTGGTATCCCAAAACGAAAATAACAACGGCAGCAATAACCGCAGGTGGCAGGGAAGACCTTGCCACAAGCAGTGGCGACGATGAACAAATGCACACAACACAAACAATTAACATGCTGTCCTCACGGACTGCACAAAGGGCCCAAGGACCGCGGCAACGGACATCACAAGACAAACAATGAACGAAACTGCCCTCACGGGCAGCCTACACGACATCCACAACCGCAGAAGTGACTTCCGCGAAGTAGAAACACCGCGAACCTCCCACGATGCCGAAACGACAGCAGATCACAACAGCCACAGTTTTCCACCAACCACCGCACCAACGCCAACCGGCGCACCAACGCACCACCACCCGGTGCAACCGAACAAACCCAACTGCAAGGGGGCTATGCACGAGGACCACCTCCGCTAAGTACTGTCCTTCTCCTAAATGCTTCACGAACAAAACAACTTAAACAACTAAAGGTCCGATCGTCTTCAAGCGCCCTACTGAAATCCCACCCCGCCCCTCCATTCGATATACCCATACTTGCTAAATCTCTAATATCATCATAGTAACAGCATTCCGTCAGTATATGCTTCCAGTCCTCAGTCATCCCGCACCCACATAAATCCGTCTGGGCAAGGCCTCTCTTATGCAGAAAAGCATTGAGAGAGCCATGCCCCGTCAGTAAGAAACCAGTACTTAAGCCGAAGCGAAAGTCTGGCCGGTCCACTACGAACGTTGCGTCACGAATAAATTCGTACGTCACCCTCCCTTTGTCACTGTTCGTACACCTTGTTCTCCACCTATCAACAACACACTCCCGAAGGATTGTGCTGAACCGCCTACTCTCCCCATCCGCTTAAGCTTGTACATAATAGCCCTACATCTCACTTCAAGATCAAGCGGCGCGGCGCCAAGCAGCACCTGCAACGCCTCTGTTGAAACAGTGTGACACACTGGAAAGCACGCTAACAGAACGACCCGCTGACACGAAAGGAGCTTCTTCTGCCCAAAGACAGAAGAGGCAGTTCTGTACCATATAGGTACACGATAAGTTGCGCAGGCAACAAAAAGCCCACCATATATAATTCGCACAGAACGCCTACTCAAGCCCCAATCAGTGACATGGTCAGTAGTAAGTCAGTAGCATGGCACAATGAATAGGTAGTCCACTAAGAGCAGGTGATGTCTTCATTCTACTTGCATTCGATGTGCAGCTGTGCTAAATGTGCCATGTAATTTCGACATCAAACGTGAATTCTTTAATGGTAGCAATGATGCTGCTGCCCGTTTTTGGGAAAAAAAACTGAAGATAAGTTAAACTGTTTGGGAACTCCAAAAAATGTATTGTCGAAAGGAAAAAGGTTGGGATATATGTATTAATAAAGTTTTTTTTTCCTAAGACAATGCATGCATACAATAACAAGAGGTAAGTTAAGGGTACCTTTTGTGTGCCTTGTTCTGTCAAAACAATTACATAATTTGTTAATGGGTTTATAATGTCTTGAAAAATATAAACATACAACATTGACCTGTTCCCGTACTGCAAAAGTCTAATACTTATTACTACGATAACGGATTTGTTCTTTAATTTAAATTTTATTTATGTTTTTAATTTTATTTATGTTTTTCAAAAAAAAAAAAAAATTATTCTGTCTTTGTAGAATTTTTCAACTTTGGAAATGTGTACGTTGACGTATTTCGGTAACATTCATATAAACACATGTGTTTTACTTTTGTGGTGAATAACTTCGAACGAACTAGTCGTAATTTAGGAACTAGTCGTAAATTCAGTTGTAATTAAAATTCAGCATTACAGCACTCAGAGATAAATATTTAGAAGTTTTGCGAATATTTCTTATACAATTCATAATTGCAAGCCCATAAAAACTTGGCATTCCATTTATTTGTTCTCGATGTTTTCTTTATTTAATAAAATTGGAAAAATATGACTGAAACTTTAGTCATAATTGGATGGACCAAAAAAAAAAAAACTTAAAGCAGAAGGCGGTCCAAACGAGGAACAACCTTTATCAACAACGGAAAAACTATATACAATGTAATTGAGTGGATCTATTATGGTGTTTTCACACGACATGTATTTTGCCTGCTTTTCCACAGGCAAATTTTTATTTGTGCAAATTCTGAGTTCGTAGGCGAGAGGGGTGTGAGGAAGAAAAACAAAACTTTGCCTGTTCAGAATTTGCGGTACAGGCAAATTCTGCTTTGCTCTGTTCGTTGAAAACAATTTTGTTGATATTTCCTTTTTAACCTATTCCTTTTTCTGGCACACAGCCGGCTTTTGTTTTAATTTGTGCAGGTGGAATTTAATTTTTAATTTTTGCAATTTATGTAATAAAATATATTAAAATAAATAAATAATATATTAAAAAATTCTTTAAAACACTTTTGACGTTTCTTTCTTTCTTTTGTATTTTGATTCGCAAATTTGGCAAAAAATTTGCTAGTGGAAAAGCAAGCGAAAATTTCAAAAGAGAAAACAAAAAATTTGCCAAATAAAAATCTGCCTGTGGAAAAGCGGACTTACATATACAACTCGAACTCGGTACACGCAAATTCTGCTTTGCTCTGTTCGTTTAAAACAATTTTGTTGACATTTCCTTTTAACCTATTCCTTTTTCTGACAAACAGTCGGCTTTTGTTTGCAAACCTGTTGCTTTAATTTGTGCAAGTGGAATTTAATTTTTAATTTTTGCAAATTTATATAATAAGATATATTAAAATAAATAAATAAAAAATTCTTTAAAACACTTTTGACGTTTCTTTCTTTCTTTTGTATTTTGCCAAATAAAAATCTGCCTGTGGAAAAGCGGACTTACATATGCAACTCGAACTCGTCATGTGAAACATACGGAAATTTCAATATGTCAAAACGATATACAATTAAAGCGAATTTAAAGTACATTTACATATACGATTTTAAATCGACTCGATTAACGAAATCCAGAAATACAACCTAATTGTTTACACATACCATTAATCGTGATCTAAATACGGATCAGCTGATGTTTGTTAGTATACATACAAAATTATAAATTTGCTGCAAAAAATTTGTTTGCAATTTGAACATGAAACGAAGAATTACAACAATGGAAATGTTTTTGCAATGCTGTGATCGTTTGGATATTATAAAAAATCACCTAAAAACACAATTAGAAATATAAAAACAAATAACATGTGAAAACAGTTGCAAATTTTGGTACATTGTGAGAGAATTGTATTTTTTTAGCACAAAAACCGCGTTGCATCTCAGTAGTATCAAGATTTCGATCATGATTTAAAATAAACCATGCCGTACGATGATTTAATTTTGTATGGTAAATCATGGTAAATTTAGCCTGATTAAGAAAATAAACCCTGATTCGTCCTTTAATCATGATCAAATGTTATATGTAAATCCGCTTTTACATATAACATTTAATCATGATTAAAGGCTGAATCAGGGTTTATTTTCTTAATCAGGCTAAATTTACCATGATTTACCACACAAATTTAAATCATCGTGTAGCAGGATTTATTTTAAATCATGATCGAAATCATGATACTACTGAGATGCAACGCGGGTTTTGTATGAAAAAATACAACTCTCTCACAATGTACCAAAATTTGCAACTGTTTTTACATGCCGTTTGTTTTTAAATTTAACGGCTGACAAATACAAAAATGACAGATTAAAAGAAAATAAAAATTAATTATAGAATTTTTGTGTTGTTAGGTGTTGGTTTCCCTTATAATATTTCACATGGTTGGCACCACTGCACATCGAATACAAGTAGAAATTACCCACTTTGACAGTTAATCGAAACATAAGCTGCTCTAAATGGACTACCTATATATTGTACCATGCAATTATATATATATATATTTTTTTTTCAAAATAGGACGCGCTCTTTTTTCGTATGTGAAACATAAGGAAATCAGCTGTTTGAATGAAACACATTGTTGGAAGAAAATATTTCAATTGCAAGTCAAAGAAATGGATGAAAAGGCAACAATTACAAATTATTATTTCGTCTGTAGGTGTTTAATAAAAAATGATGTTGATTTAAGGAAAAATAAAAGAGTTTTTTATAGGTTACGTCATATTTAAGATACATATGCCGATTTGAACACAAAAAATAAAAGTTTTGTGTACGCTGCTAATTTTGACACACATAAGGAATTACGGAAATAAGTGACAAGACATATGTAAAATTCATATCGTGTAAAAACACCATTAATAAGGTCACCTTGGTACAATCGAAATCGGAAACAGCTGTTTTTTCCCAAGTCTAATGTCAAAAATTTGGACTTTGTTTACGTTTTCATAATGGAAGTCAATTCATTGGTCTCCCTGGATGACCTTATTTATAGACCATGATATACATTTTATATGAAAAGCAAAACGTGTAGCTGGACGTCTATCAATTCTATTCAGAAACAAATATTTACCGCAGAGTACAAAGCTTCTCTTATATAAAGTGGCCATAAGATCAATTATTTTATATGGACTTCCCATTTGGTTCACTATCTCTCCTACTGTGGCCAAAGAAGTGGAGATATTTGAACGTTATATCCTACTTAAATGTATAAATCAACATTACGAAAACCCGACAAAGAAGTTTTCAAACACTCACATTTATGGTAAAGCTGGGGTCCAACCTTTTTGCCAACAAGCATTGTATCTCTTAAAGAAGTTCGTAGATGGGCTAGAGTCACATGAAAATCCTATGATCAACTCTATATATGAAGCGGAAAAACACGTATCTTGGTCAAATTCAACATATTTATCTACCATTGGCATTATCAACGAAAGCCTCGACATTGATCCAGACAATTGTAATGTACCTGATTTTTATAAGCCAACACATGGTACAATTATAAAAGGTAACAGCAAATCCCAGCTGATTTGATTCCAACGTAATACTAGTGTCAATATGAATTTGACAAATTATGTTTTTAAAAATCACCCAACAGGAAAATTGGGAACGCCTACAATTTGAAACTGTTCTTTATTAAATGTGCTCTTGTATTCAATTTACTCAATCTGCCTGCTGGGAAAGTTTCAGGAAGCAAATCTTTCTTCAAGGAATAACTCGCTATTCCCAGCATTTTCATATGTGTTACACATATATGTGGCAATGGCTCAATTATAGGAAATATGTGGAAGCGATAGAAATATAAATTTGCAAGATTTTCATTCATGTTTTTCAATTTTTATTTTGAGGATTCGAAAATATTTCATTTTCAAAATAAAAATAATTTGATGATAATTTGTTTGTTTGTTTACATTTTTCTGTCAAATGAGTTGACACTAGTAGAACTTACAACAACAAATTTTCATGTGGTTGTTGTATCGTTTTTTGTACAACAACACTTGCTGTTACCTTCTATTATTATACCATGAAGCCAATACAAAGAACACAAAGAGCCCACAGAGGCTAAACATTATATTTATAAATTCAATTTTTGAGTTATGCTCTTTCGTTTTAATTTATGTGTTTTGTTTTGACATATATTTTCTAAACACCATCTGTGATATTTACACATACATACTTTTTTAACCATATGTTCATCTAACATACTCGCTGTTTGATAAAGATATTAACAGTCTCTTGTTATCACTTTTTTATTGTTATGTATTTTTAAGTAATTTATTATCTACAGACACACACGCTCTGTTAAAAAAATGTTAAAGCAAATTTACATATAACATCTAATCATGATTAAAGGCTGAATCAGGGTTTATTTTTTTAATCAGTCTGAATTTACCATGATTTTTCATACAAATTTATATCATCAAGAAGCAGGATTTATTTTAAATCATGATCGAAATCATGATACTACTGAGATGCAACGCAGGTTTTGTACGAAGAAATACAACTCTCTCACAATGTACCAAAATTTGCAACTGTTTTTACATGCCGTTTGTTTTTAAATTTAACGGCTGACAAATACAAAAATGACAGATCAAAGGAAAATAAAAATTAATTATAGAATTTTTGTGTTTTTAGGTGTTTTTTTTTTTACTTTCCTTCTATTGCAAAAACATTTCCATTGTGGTAATTCTTCTATTCTTTTTCAAATTGCAAACAAATATTTTTGGCGCAAATTAATAATTTTGTATGTATACTAACAAACATCAGCTGATCGGCATTTAGATCATGATTAAGGGTGTGTGTAAACAATTAGGGTGTATTTCTGGATTTCGTTATTCGAGTCGATTTAAAATCGTATATGTAAATGTACTTTTAAGGCCGTGAGCAAGCCTTGCTCTTCATTCATTTTACACGTACGCATATTCGTATATTCATTTTAAGCATGTAGTATCAATGCATTTAATTATTGGATTAGAATAAGACAAATATAGTTCTAAATTATCATGTCATCATTTTACTTTACATTAACCATGTTAACGAAATAAGAAGAAGACTCAATAAAAAAAATTTACTTTACCTTACATTTTATATGTCCTTTTTTCTTCATACTAGAATCCCATAACATAAAGGAAAATTTATTATCGTAGTAAAATGTATTAGAACAGATCAACACTTTCACACAACTGGGATCATGGTACAATTATAAAAGGTAACAGCAAATCCCAGCTGATTTGATTCCAACGTAATACTAGTGTCAATATGAATTTGACAAATTATGTTTTTGAAAACCACCCAACAGGAAAATTGGGAACGCATACAATTTGAAATTGTTCTTTATTAATGTGCTTCCGTATTCAATTTACTCAATCTGCCTGCTGGGAAAGTTTGAGGAAGCAAATCTTTCTTGAAGGAATAACTCGCTATTCCCAGCATTGTCATATGTGTTACACATATATATGGCAATGGCTCAATTAAAGGAAAGATGTGGAAGCGATAGAAATATAAATTTGATAGATTTTCATTCATGTTTTTCAATTTTTATTTGGAGGATTCGAAAATATTCCATTTTCAAAATAAAAATAATTTGATGATAATTTGTTTGTTTGTTTACATTTTTCTGTCAAATGAGTTGACACTAGTAGAACTTACAACAACAAATTTCCATGTGGTTGTTGTATCGTTTTTTGTACAACAACACTTGCTGTTACCTTTTATTATTATACCATGAACTGGGATCTACCTTAAATAATTATAGCATGTTTCAACATATTTTGATCGCCTGAATTGCAACCAAATATTAATTTTAAGCAATTTTTACATATTTTCGAGATTTAATAGTGTCTTTTGCTATAATAGCTTGTAAAGATTTATAAGATTTCATCGAAATGTCCTCGAAAAAGTCAGTTTTTTACTGACAACTCTCGTCAGTTTTGTAAGTGAGTTGTTTCTAAAGGGAAATGCAAGTTATAAGAGGAATTCTTAATTATTAATAGAAGATTATTGCAGGTTCTAGAACATATGAATAATGAAAAATTGATAAACACATCAACTTGTGAAGTGAAAATAAAGATTAAAATATGATTACTATTTCAATTAAATAGGCTACGTTATTTCTCTTAGGTCGTACTGTCAAATGCAACCATGTACAAAATGAACACAGCTCTCTTCAAATTGATGACAACTTGGGAGTGCGACTAACTTCGCTCACTTCTTTCTTTCGGAAAAATTAAAGATGGTGAGTGGATGTTTTTCGTTTACCGAGTCGCCACAAAAGTGAAAATTTAAAGTGATTTTATTTAAAAACAATGGAATTTCAATATAAAACCAAAATAAATTATACCACTATAAAACGTTTGGCAATAATACAGAAAAGTAAGCCCAATTGATTGAAACAGATTTGAAATCACGTGCAGTGTCTCTTTGTGTGTAAAATGTTTGGTAGTGCATTTTTCGTGGCGGCTCGACTTTCGAATATCTCAAACACGTGTTTTGATATCCAACTATTTGAGCAAGAAATTTAATATTTATTTCGTTTCTTTTGTGTGCGTTTTAGTCGAATATCAAGAGGAAGAAGACCAGAAAGTTGCGTGGTCATGTAAGTCATGGTCACGGTCGTATCGGCAAGCACCGTAAGCACCCTGGTGGTCGCGGTAACGCTGGTGGTATGCACCATCATCGCATCAACTTCGACAAATACCATCCAGGTTACTTCGGTAAGGTTGGTATGAGGAACTTCCACTTGCGCCGTCAACACAAATTCTGCCCAACCCTCAACTTGGACAAATTGTGGTCTTTGGTCGGTGTCGACAAAGTAGCTGAATTGGAGAAGGAGAAGACTCCTAAAGCTCCCGTCATTGATTTGGTGAAATTCGTAAGTATCTTTTTTCGTTGTTATATATTTCCTTAAAAATAAAGAAAAGTTTAAATGAAGATATTCCCTAAGGCGTCGGGCGGACTGAAGGCAACGTACAATTGCCGTATTCAATGTAGAGAAAGCCTTTCAGATAACTTTTTTTTCCAATGTTTTAAGAAAATTGTGTTATTCTTTAGATTATTTTGTATGAATGTTGTATTTATTGTTTTTTTTTCTTTTTGTTACAGGGTTACTACAAGTTGTTGGGCCGTGGTCATCTCCCCAACTTGCCCGTCATTGTTAAGGCCAAATACTTCACCAAGAAGGCTGAAAACAAGATCAAGAAGGCCGGTGGTGCCTGTTTGTTGGTCGCTTAAATTAAGGTAAATATTTTAAACATAACGCGATATAAAATTTTATTTTTATATATAAAAAAACAGTGACGATTGATACTAGTCGCGTCAGACCATTGCTGAATGATTCTAGTTTTTACCATAACTGAACTGAGTTTTTATTTCAAATTAAATTTTGAAAATTATTTAGAACTTCTACCAGACTATTAATAGCATTTTTTATTTTATGTTCTTCTATTTACAGCTCAACTTTTTACCTCTTAAGTAGTTGAAATACATTCGACCATCTAAAATGTATTTGTTTTTTAATAAAAAAAAACTGTCTTAACAAGAATTTGGAAATTTGCTGTTTTAAATTAATTGAAATAATGTTTATATACATTATTTTATAATTGATACCTCAACACACTCGTCGATGGTTGGTAATATGGGTATCACACCTGTTGCCAACATATATATTTAATTATTATCATTGAAAAAGTTTAAAGTTAAAAAGTTTTAACATTTTAAATTATTTTTTTATTGTTTATAATTACTTCGACGAATGTGTTGTGAAAAAACAATCTATATATAGGTTTCCGTGTAGATTTCAATCTTAGGTATAGGTGAATTGTGAGATGGCGTCGAATGCTGGACACTGAAGACCCTGCTGTAGACCTGACGAATTGAATATCATCCTTTTTCTTCTCCAAATGGTGAGTATAAACATTTTTATTTGCATATTTTTATACAAAAAGAGAGAAAAATTCCATGAAGATATTCCACAAGGCGTCGGGCGGACTGAATGCGACCGTACAATTGCTTTTCCCATGTAGCGAAAGCCTTTCAGAGTTTTTTTCTCTTTTTTTATAAATATTTCTGCTTCTTCTTATATATTTAAGAACAATAACTAATTACGTTTTGTTTATTTTTACAGGACTCTTTAGGCGGCCACTACAACATACACGAGATGGTGAAAATTTACGGCTCCCAGTAAAGTATATTCATATGAAATTCTTGTAAGATACAAAAATTCAATAATAAAATGATAAAACAAATCAGAATGAAGAAATAAATAGTAATTTTTAATGGATTATGGATACAAGTACAAAAATATATTTAAATTGAAATATTAAACAAATACACTCAGCACTTTTTGAAGGCTGAACTAGGGTCAATGAACTTAAAGCGTTGTAAAGGCCAGTTAAAACCCACTCTTGTCTGTATAAACCCGATGGAAGGGTATTAAATAACCTTGTAGAGTTATAAAATGAAACTAGTAGAGATGACGCATAGAGCCCAGTTGATTCCTCTAGCGAGTTGTTCGTGGTCTATTGATGTACCATCTCGGGGTCCGCTGTTAGACATGAACTTGGATAGAATTCATACTTGCAAAGCAGAACTGGTACTTAAAACGAGGAGGAACCTGAAATGAAACTTTAATTAACTATTATCCTCTATGTACTACTTCCTAAGGCACAGACTTTAAAAGCTATGTGTATAATTTTGAAATAGTTGGGGTCTTGATTTTTATACCCTTCACCACACTGTGGTAAAGGGTATTATGTCTTTGTGCATATGTTTGTAACAGGCAAAAGGAAACGAGATAGATACATGGTTCCTTTTGAGAATATGCATAGAATCACCTTTTGAGTCGATTTATGCATGTCCGTCCGTACGTCTGTCCATGTTAAATTGTAAACAGAGTACAGGTCATATTTATGATCCGAATTGGATGAAATTTGGCATAGGCCAATTATTTGGCCCATGGACGAATCCTATTGAAATTGGGAAAAATCGGTTCAGATTTAGATATAGCTCCTATATATATTTTCTTCCGATTTAATACAAATGGTGTACCAAAGTCAGTATATATCTTTCGATTTGCTCGAAATTTGTCATAGCGTAATGAATTAGGTGTAGAATGATGTGTGTTAAGTTTCGTGAAAATCGGTTCCGATTTAGGTATAGCTCCCATATATATTTTCGTCCGATTTAATGTAAATGATTTACCAAAGTCAATATATATCTTTCGATTTGCACGAAATTTGTCATAGCGTAATGAATTAGGTCAGATTTAGATATAGCTCCTATATATTTTTTTCTGATTTTATTTAAATTGTGCACTAAAGACCCAAAGTTTGTTCGATTGCCACACAATTTTGTACAATGATCTGTAGTTAATGTAACTTAATTTCTACTCTCATATATATATAGCTTCTACATATATATTTTTGTCCGATTTTACACAAAATTTACACAAATTTTGCACAACGTATTGAAGTTAGTATGACATAGAAGTTGGATATAAATGCTGCACCAAGGTGGGTCCGATTGGCACAAAATTTTGCACAACGTACTGAAGTTACTATAACATAAGTTAGGTAGTTTGCAACAAAATTTTGCGCGCTGTACTGAAATTAGTATAGCCTACCGCGTCCTAAGTTTTGTAGGAATCGGTTCAGATTTAGATATAGCTCCCAAATATAGTTTCGTCCAATTTTAAGTAAATGGTGCACCAAAGACCCAATGTACTGAAGTTAATAAAACCTAGCGTGTGATAAGTTTTGAAATCAGTTCAGAATTGGATAGAGCTCTATATATTTTTTCTCTCGATTTTAAGTACATGATGCACCAAGAGCTCACATTGTGGCCGATATGCACAAAACATACTGAAATTAGAATAACTTAACCTGTGACAAGTTTCGATGAAATTGGTTTAGATTTCGATATAGCTTTTGTATATATTTTCGTCCGATTTTTAGTAAATGGTGCACCAAACTACTCATGTTTATCAAATCTGACATCCGGATTTATTTAAAACAATAATTTAAAACAAATTGATATTTGCTTTAAATTGATTTACATACTTTTGCCCCAAATGAAAAATTTAGTATAGGTTACAGAATGACATGTTTATGGATCCATTTTCATGTTAATGGTCCTTCAAAAATGTGACGTCTGTTAGGATTCATCTGTTGAATACAGCCAAAGTGGTGAAGTATAGTCGGCCCGTCCGATTTCACTACTTTCCTTACTGGTTTATTTATATAAACTACTCCATTTCTTTTCGAGAAATAAGCATCCAATTTTCGGTAAGTTGTCAATTAAAAAAACAGATTCGATAGCTGGCATTAAGACCAGTTCATAAAATATAAAATAAATCTCCTGAATGGCAAATTACAGCCACATTGTTTGAAAAATTGGCCTAGACTATAAAAAATTCTTAAAATATGGCGGCTATATCACAATATCGACAGATATTGAAAATTGTCAAAGTCCAGGAACCTTAGGATTAAAAATTATTTTATTCAAATCAATTTCAAATTCAATAATTTAATTCTGTTCAGTAGTATAAAAAAAAATTTTTTCCATTTAAAACTAAATATATAAATATTTACAAATTAATATAAAAACATGATTTCATATTCAAACAGCCATTGCTGTTGGCATTTCCTCTTCAATTGGTATATTCTCTGCAAATGGCATACATTCTTCAAATATATGTATTTTTTCTAAAATATTTGGTTGCATAAATGCATTTTCCTCTTCCAGTTGTAAAACAATTTTCAACAGCCACAATGCCTCCTGGGTCAAGTGTGAATCGTGGAAAGCAAATAATTTATTTAATACCGATGTTATACTTGATTTCCAAACACAAGACACTTGCAGCAATAATGTTGAATAGATTAACGGTTGGGCAACTAGAAGATTACCCAAGATGCGTATGGAATATAAAATCTTAAGGCGTTGTGGTTGAGTAAGGAAGTTATTTGTGTTGTTTAGATTGATTAATGAAAAATTCAATAGATACAAAGAATCAGCAGGATTTAGTTTCGAAATTAAATCCTGTTGGCTGAAGAGACAATGGAATACTATGGCAAGATGATATTCCGCTGCAACACATGTTGGATTTTTATCAGCCATTTGTTCCAGTACAAAATTACGATCTTCCTGTGTCATTAGATGTTCAGCATTTAAGGCGATGAGTTGTAAACAGATTGCAGCATCTTCACGATAATCGAGTACGGGATCGGCAATGTCATCGTCACAATACATTTTCCACAGTTGTGGCAGTAAATGCATTTTCATTAGCACAGATGCACTCTTCTGCCCAGTTGTCAAGATATTTGCAACTATCCACAAACACAGGCGTACCAATTGAGATTCATTGCTATGTAGATAGGTTACGAGGTAACTTCCCGCCAACGATGCAATCTTTTCACACACCGGTGCCTCGCCAAGTGAAAGATTACATAGACATTCGGCAGCAGACATTTGCCGTTCCGAATCATTTCCGGTTAGTTCCTTGATTAAAACCTGAATGGCGCCGGGAATTTTATTAAATGCCTGTATGTTTGTAACATCCTGCAGGAAAGCATGAGATAGTCGGTACATATCTTCAATGGTGGCATGTTTTCGGCGTTTAATACGAGCTGCCAGGCCGGTAACATCCTTCTCAGTGACATTATCTAATTCCTGAATGCGTTCCTTTATTTCACCCAATTGAAATCTTAAGGAGTCGGAAACTTCAGCGCGTATTGCTTCCCTATGTTTTTTGGTGTAATCACGTATTTTCTCACGTAATAATTGAGTTGGAACCGTGGATGTTTTGGGTTCCGGTGATGTTGAGGTGGTTTCTGGCGATGTTGACGATGCAGCGTCCATATTTGTTCCAAAATATTGTCAAATGTTTGTTCCCACTGACCGTAAACAATTGATCTATGCTGTCAGTTTTTAGCAAAGTTTGCGAAATGTCATGTTTGTTTGAGCTGGCAACAGTATTAGAAATTTTATTTGGGCTGGTACATTTTCAAATGTGGCTGGCCAATATACTAAGTTTTTAGTCTGCGGTGGGTGCACTTTGAAATATCTTTAATAGGCAACAAGTAAAATAATATTTTAGGGACCATTCAAGGGTGTGAATGGTGGCGTGGTATTTCTAAAGGGGCGGAGTTTTTTCAGGACCCACACCAGAGTGCTTAATTTTTTATAAATACTTGTTTATAACGTTTTTCTAGTAGGATGGATTTTTAAGGGTCTTCAGCAGACTTGAAGTTTTTAATAATTGCTTCGAGATACTTCTTAGGCCTCGAGTTTTTAAGAATATTTTTTCAAGCTGCTTCTAGGCGAGTAGATTTTAAGATTTCTAATGAGTGCCGTTTTAACGAATAATTTTTCAGGACCATTTCTAATGAAAATCTACCTAGTCGTGGAGTTATTAACACATATTTTCTAATGATCGTCATAAGGTTTGGCGATTTAAATAATTTCTTCGTGGTATTTTTTAGGCTTGGAGTTTTAATGAATATTTTTTTAAAAATCTTTTAAAATAGTAGACTTTAATATATTTTTAAGGTACTTCAAAGACGTGCAAAGTTTATATAATTTTTTTTCGAAGCCCTTCTTAGGCCTCAATTTTTAAATAATTTTTTCTCAAGTTGCATTATAGGCATTGAGGTTTTAAAAAATCATGAATTAATATAGGTCTTGGCGTATATCGGACATTCTGATACCGCCTATATGGCGGTATCATCCTTTTTTGTATTCCACGAGTTTATAAAAATTTCATACCAGCCAAATTTATCGACACACATCTCTACATGAACTAAAATTAATGTTTTTGGGCTAGTTCAGTCGGTCATTTCAGTGAATCGTTCAAGTGAATTATTGAACAACATTCATTATTTTTTTAGAAGTGTGCCCATCATTTAATTCTCGTAAATTTGGGAAAAGGGAAATTCTAACTGAAAAATGTCCTTTACAATAATGCAAAAACTTTCCCTGGGCTGTCTGAAGGCAGAACAGCCATTGTTAAGTAAGTATCCGAACGTTTTTATTTAATTTTATTGATTTTCGATACAAATGTATTTTCTGTGTGTGTTTTTTAGCTACAATACGTAACGCCAGTAAAAAGACCGGCGGTAGTACTCGCAACAAGAAAGGCCATCCCAGACCTAAGCATCGTGGATGGCGTGTACAAGATGGTCATTGGGTTTCACAGGGCACAATATTGGCCACACAATTAACAACAAGATTTCATCCTGGTTTAAATGTTTGTATTATTATATTGTTGTTGTTGTTGGAATGACTTTATAACGATTGTCTTCTTTATTTACAGGTTGGTTTCGGTCGCAATGGTACCCTATTTGCCATGGATCATGGTAAGGTATATGTCACCTGCGAACCTTTAGATCCAAACTGGGATCATACATGGGTACAACGTCACTATGCCGGTCGTGAAGGTCAACCAATTCACAAGAAATTCTTCAATGTGGTGCCGGAAAAACAACATCAACGTTTTCGTTTGGTAGATGAAGTTTAGATAGATTTACGTGTTATTGTTAAAATGTTAAATAAAAGTATAATTAAAAATGTAAAATGTATTCATAAAGTGTTGCGAATGTAGTATATCACATTTGATTAGAAAGAAAATTACAGTTTACGGTATTTATTTAGTTATTATCTATTTGGTCCAAAAATGCTGGATATTATTCATGGTTAAATATTTGAATTGAAATAATTTTTTATCTGTGGATTCAAGTCTAGTTTAGGGCATCCACGTTTTACGTTTTTTGTGGAAATCGGTATTTCCGGGAATTTTTTTTTAAAATTTACTGAGCCAATGTGGATATAAATTTAAAGCGCTTGAAATTCTGATTACAAAAACACTATTCGAATTAAAAGGAGATGCGATCGCGTAGCCGGAGCTGCCATCTGTCCATAGGAGAATCTCTTAAATCCCCTGCCGAAGGCCGGCACTTTTCTAATTAAAAGGAGATTCGGTCGTGTAGCCGCAGTTACCATCTGTCCATAGGAGAAAATATTAAATCCCGGCCGAAGGCCCGCTACCGACAAACATCCACAATGTTTTACAAAATTAAAGAAGGATCCAGTGGAATTTTGGAGACCCATGAATGTGTGAACTTATTTGATAAGAATATTATATTTTATTTATTTTAAACATACATATATAATTTTAAATTTAACAGAGAAGAAAAATAATTTGCAAAATTTGGTTGTTGTTGTTCCCCAAAAGTTTCAAAACGCAACAAGCTCTTTTATTGTTTTTAAAAATGTTCAATAAGAGTCCTTATAAAAATCCATCTTGCATTGATCTCATAGTTGACTATCTTACACAACCTATTAAGGCGACATCCCCCCTTCTAGATTTTAAATAATAACATCAATAGTAAAATTTTGTGTATAACGGCTGAAACTCCAAATATGATTTTTTTGGATGCATTTTTTTAGTTCCAACTACAACACTTCGAAAATGATTAAAATTGCAGCTAGTTGTGCTAAATGTTGGAATTCAGTTTTCAGAGTCACTGTGTTTAGGTCGACTGTGTGGGTATGTTGGCTAAAAGTACTATATATACGAAAAGTAGTAAATTAAGTATAATTAATATCGAGGATTTTAGGAATTCGTACAAAAATTAATTAATTCTGGTCAAATTGTTTTTGAAATCTGCAAAAATCCGTTGGTTGTTTTTGGATTTTGCCATAAAGTAAAAGGAGGTCCTTATATCCCCTTGCCTTCTATTTTACTATGTCCTGGAACCCAATATATTTTAACTATCTGTCGTATATTATGAAAAGCACCCTTGAAGTCTCGAACCGCTTTTGAGTTAATAGTACACGACTTGAGTGATTTAAGGGCCGTCTGACTATCGACATAGATAGTCACCGGTCTGTACATCCGTACATCACTAACTTAACCTATACTCTGTAGGTGGCCATCGCTAAGTAGCAGAAGACACAGACAGTAAATGACAACTGTACATTCCTTAACCCAACCTAGAATAGTAGGGTTTGGCGTATTATTACTCTTAATATATAGGTCTGAAAAACGCGGATGGTTCCAAAAATTTGAATTACAAGGGTAACATATTAAATTGTACATAATTTTTGAACAATGTTTTTTGCGTGAAACAATTTTTAACTATGACATGGAATTTGAATATATGTACCATGTATAACTATAAAGCTGATATAAGTTTTTATATATTGAAGTGCGAACATTTTGTATAAGAGCCATTTAGCAGTAAATGCACAGTCACTCTTTGATGATGCAAATTCAGCAACTCTGTTTAGCGTAAAAAGGCAATTGTTTAGTTCGCCAAGTGTTTTTCTTAGCCCAATGTACAATTATCGCAAAATAATTAAACTGGGCGATTGGTGCTGTCCATAACTCTCGAAGGAATCATCCAATTTCATGCAAACCCAATGATTCTTCCATACTTGCGTATTTAATATATTATAACTACTAACGGCATATTTAAATAAAACGATTATTTATTAATTTCAATAATGTGTATTTTATTTCTCTTTTTCACATTTGTAATTATTTGAATTTAACATGACAAAAAAATAATGTGAATCATTTTCATTTACAATATTAAATAAGATAATTAGATAAACAAGTGTATTTTTCTTTACAATTCCTTGGAAACAATTAATAAAACAAATAAATATATTTTCTTCAATGGTGAATTTTATGTATTTGTTTATTCCCTTAACAAAAAAACAAGTTCAATATATGTAGTTGATGATTTAAGGAATATGGAAAAATTATGTTCGTATGTATAGTAACTTAACAACATATACACATAATAGTAATTAATTATTATAATGAAAAAATAAAACAAAGCCTATAATCTAAATAAAGCATAACGTATTTTTAAATATTCGTTTTTTTCTATGGTATAGAAATAATTACACATAAGAGTAATTCTTCACTTCAAAAGTTTGTTTGAAATAGAAAGATAACAAACTAATGAAAATTAATGACTGAAATGTGTTGGATGTTGATTTTGACAGCCTCGAAATACATTTTGTTTGGATAAATTAAAATAAAATCGAAGTATGTAATTTCAAATAGTTTTCTTATTTTAATACCCAAAATAGCTCTGCATCAATTTATCCATTTTAAATATTGTATTTCAATTTTACAAGATTTAAAATTAAAAGGAACTTGAAATACTATAAAGAAGATTATTTTACAGAAGGCGAAATTATTTATGTAATGAAAATAACACTATGTAACTCGAAATCAGAGGTGATATTTTATTATGTTTTGGATTAAAAAAATTTCTTGAAATTCCTTGACTTCAATTGTAAATTATAAACTGAATATTTAATTACTGTATTTAATGAGGTTTCAAATCCATGAGCATGTCGAAAGTTAGGAAAAGATTATGCACCAAATTTAGGTTCCAAATGCGAGTTCAAGATTTTGAAATATACCAGTTTAGATGCAACTGAATATAAAATAACTTTACAGAATGTTTTTATGTGTGTCAAAATTAGCTTCACACAAATCTTTTTTGTGTTATTCCATTAAATTTTACATATGACATAACCTATCCAAAAAAAAATTTTTTCTTAAGTGTGGGATCACCTACAAACGCAAATTTTGTAATTTTTTTTTCCTTTTCTTTGACTTGCAATTGAAATATTTTCTTTAACAATGTGTTTCATTCAAACAGCTGATTTCCTTATGTTTCACAATTTCAGAGCGCGTACAAAAAATACATATGCAATTGCATATTAATGACACTTTTTTTTGTTTCAAATATGGTTCGATTTCCATATGCAAAAAAGTACAGCTCATAGAATTACGTTTATTATAAAAAATTAACCAAATTTAAAAAAAAAGTGTCATTAAATGCACAGTTGCTTTTGTACTTGAAATTGGAAAACGGTCAAAATGACCGCCCTCGGCGTTCTAGTGTTAAAGCCTTATATTTTGAGAACAAAAACTGATTTAAGTGTAAGTATTGCAAAATTCTGTGTATTCACTTGGGGCATATTTTTTCCTTTACATAGTGTTATTACAAAGTATTTAAATCAAATTTTTTAACTAAATTATGATTTAAAAAAAATGACCGCCTTTCTATATTTCTAAAAAAACATAATTTATTTTTTATTTAGAAATAATGAATAATTAAACAAAAAAATAATAACATAAAGACTAAAGATCGATAAAATCACAAAATGTTCAAATTTGATTTGTTGTTTTATTTTGTTATTAGAGCGCGCATTAAAAGAATATTTGCAAATTGAATATGGCATGTATGCTGCTGCTGAGAAACTTAAATAAAAATGTGATTATATTCCTTGATTTGAGCTTAGAAAATAATTCGTGCGTTTTATAGCTGATGTTGTTTTTGTTATTGTTCATAAAAAAGCCTTTTACTTTTTGTGCTGCCCTAAATCAAATGTTTTACTTTTTTTCAATTTTTTTAATAGTTTTTCGTTGGTATATTAGTTTTATTGTTGTTCAGTAGTTTTTCTCTGTTTAGAAATTAACAATTTTCAAAATGTTTTTTTATTTATAATAAATAATTTATATATATTTTTGTTTATCAATTTTAAAGTTGCATAGCAACTTTGGTTAAAACTACAAAGCGCTCATTTTTCCTTGTTTTTACATGGTAGGGTTTTTTGTTTGTTTAATTTGTAATGTTTTTTCAATTTATTTTTGGTTTCGAAAAGCCTATAATTAGGCCAAAAAAAGAGTAACAAGATATCAAAGTAGAAGAGTATTTAAATCTTCTTTACAAAAAAACATTAGCTTAGCTTCTAAACAAAAAGAACAAACTTTAAAAGTTTGTTTGTTTTTATTATTATGTTTTGAAAAACACACAAACAAAATTAAAACATAAACAATTTGTTTTGTGGTGTTGTTGTTTTTTCTCTTTTCTTTTAGTTAACTATAACTATGTATATGTATAAACCTAACTACAGTATTAAGAAGATGGGTGGCGGCTAGGTCGAAGTGGGAGGAGGAGGAAGATGTAGATAGTAGTAGTAGTAGTGGTGGTTGACTTAAATATAATCCTTCTTCTTAAAAGTCATAGAATTCATTACTTTTACTATTAAAACGTCGCGTTAATACATAAACCACAGCTTCATATGTCGCCATCAGTATAGCGGTATTTGGTATTTGTCTCACAAGTTGTGTAGCTAAGCCTCTGTAAGGAAAATAATAATATAAAATATTAATAATTTTTAATATTAGAAGAGTTCAGAATTTTAATAGAATTTATGTAAACCTATTTTGAGTATGTGTAACCTCAAAGCAGGTTATTTTCTGGAACATTTCTAAAACATTGTTTTTTATGGGTAGGAAAGACTTAAAGAATGTGGGGATCATCACATGAAATTGCTGAATCAGGTCTATCTTTTCAAAATGGAACATTAATGAAGTGGAATACGGCCGTCTATGTGAGGATGAAGAGGATCCAATATCCACTCTGTCAATGCCCTATGCTTCGATACAGAAGGAATTAAATGTTTGGCAGACATGAGACAGACTCTAAAAATTTTCTCCGAGATATACCACAAAATCAATTACAGCTTTGCCAACAATTTATCTTGGGTCAGCTATCAACCCTAATCATTACCTTTTCCTTCGCATTTGTTATACCCTCCACCATAGTATGGTACGAAATAATCATTTCCGATCATATAAAGTATATATTCTTGATCAGCGTAAAATTCTATGACAATATAGCCCTGTCTGTCTGTTGTAATCACTCTAGCGTCTAAAGGAATTGAGATAGATCGCCAAAATTTTGCATAGAGTCGTCTTTTGTCTGCAGGCAGGTCAAGTTCGAAGATGGCTCGCATATAAGGGTACCCCCCAATTTTCGGTATTTTGGGGTTCTTGAGCGCGTTTTTCAACCGAATTTGCCGAAATTTGCTACATTGGGTTCTTTTTGGATACCAAATATCTCCACTAAAAATTATAAATATCGGTCCACTTTTTCTGGTACCCCCCATATAACGGAACCTCCTAATTTTCAGTATTTTTGGGAGTTATGATAGTATTTTTCCGCCGAATTTTCTGTAATTTAGTATTTTGAGTTCCTAATAGGTAAAAAAATCTAATAATTTCGCCCAATTCCATCTCAATGGTCCTCCAATGATTTTATGTCTGTTCTATCTACAGGATATTGTTGATATTAACATCTCTTGTATGTACCCAAAGTGGATATTGTAGATATTAACAGCTCTTGTATGTACCCAAAGTGGTGAACTTTTGAACTTTCTTTACTGGTTTATATTAAACTAGTTATCAGATTTGTTACGCGTTTTGAGTTTGGTTCTAATACTCTGTTGTAATCATTTCACCTGCGGAGGATATCGAGATAAAAAATAGAACATAAGGTTCGATAATGAAGTATAGCCCGCATTTAGACCTAGCCCCTGTGTAGAGATTCCAGAAGGAGTGGACCGATATTCCCCATTTTCGAATTTTCGAGCAATGTATGGATGAAATCTAAGTTTTCTAAAACGGATTTGGTCCAAAGAAACATGGGATCTAGAACCAATATTTATACACCCTCATTAGCCATAAGGCTGTGGGTATCAAGATCCATTAAAAAATTCTGAAATTTATATTATGGTTTACATAATCCGTTTTCAGAAATGTCGGCATAGGTCCACTTTTTGGTATGTTCCCAATATTTTCATTTCTAGTACCTGTCAGTATATCTAAAGTTCGGCCCGGCCGAACTTAACGCTTTTTCACTTGTTCTTTCCACCTTTCTCTTTTTACAACGACTTTTAGTAATCTAAGCTTTACAGATTTACAGATAGATATCGTCCCCATTACTTTCCTTTTCTAGATTTCAACAATTTAATTTATTCTTACCTATATAAACCAGGTCGACCCTCTTCCTTCCAGACAGTATGTAATGTTTGCCAAAATGTGTTATATTTATTGCCTTCTTCACGCAGTCGTGTTCGTGCAACTTCATGGGGATATGCAATACAGGAGGCAACAGTCTTTGATATGGCACCAGCCATCATGAATTCAAGGAAATCTCGAGAAGATTTTGTGGTATCCGTTGAACGTTTATTTTGTCGTTCAATCTAAAATAATAATAAAAGAAGAAGAACAACAACAAACACATTAATATAATTGTTATAAATGTGGCAAGTAGAGAAAAAATAACTTACCAATTTGGATTTGATGAATTCATAGATAACAAAATGTATCATCGTTTCACAGATACCAAAATAACTCGCCGTAATACCCTTGTAGAAGGCTGCTATGCCACCGCTGGCATAAACACGTTGTATACACTGTCTGACGGTCATTTTCACTTTTGAATTATAGTCCAATTGTAAACGTGTTTTAACAAACCAAATTGGATTGGTTAGGGAAGAGGAAACAAAACCGGCACTAGCTGCACTCATTATATGAACTTGTGGAGAATCGGGTTGTACTAATCTATGGTGGGCAAGAGAAGTCAAAAATAAGTAATTTATAGGCTTATAAAAAATCATATTTTGGAATGCTGAAAAAGGATACTGGTTCATACTTACCCTAACTTATTAAGGAAATTTTTGGTTTCTGAATATGTGCAAAAATAAATTGCACGTGATGGCGCCACGCCAACGAGATTCGGTCCTAAACCTTTAAACAATGCTCTAGGCCCTTCATTTTGTACTATGTGTCTAAAAGGGAGAGAGAAAAAAATTAAAAATTAGATACAAATCTAAATTGGGGGTAATAACTACATAACCTTAAACCACATTAGCCAAAATGCCATACAACAGAAATGGTGTAGGTTATGAGGCCATTAAACCATTGCAAATGGGTCTTTGTGGTTTTAGATTAAAATTCCAGAGGAGGAGAGACGATGACATTGCCGTTTCCCTTTTGGTTAGTTCTATTTTGTTTGGACCATGACCTACCTCAAACACTGTATTATGCTCATACTTTTGGTGGATGTCGATGAGATGCCGCAGTGTGATATTGCCATTATCTATAAGAAATAAAAAAAATTAATACCAATTTTATAAAATAAGAAATATGTAGAGATAAAAATAGTAAATAGAAAATTATTTTCAAAGATTAAAAAAATAGAGACCCAAAGAGGACCTGAAGAAAGTATGTCAAGAATTTTATACAAGAAAAGTAGATAAGATGTTTTTTTAGAATAGTAATAGTGTATAGATAATGTAATGTAATATGGTGGTACTACCCTACGAACACCCCCAATCACCTGTGGTTGGGACCTGTTACGTAATATTGTCGTACTAAGTTTACGTCTCTGTTCAGGTCGCAGCAATTCGGAGGATGCATTTGTCGTTGAATTGTGTTCTATCCGTGGCGGTGTTAAAAATGCTGTTGAACTTTGTAGACGGGTTTTGACGACTTCTAATGGACATGTTACCACAGCACCAACTGTACCAGCAGTTCTGAAAAGGGAGCAAAAGAAGAGCGAAAATAATTAATATGGAATATATAATGAATTAGTTAACAAAACATAAACTAATTATTTTAAATTAATATTTATTTGAAAATAAGATCTTTAACTTATCAAATTGGCCTATTCTACTGCAATTTCTGAAAATATATAAGTATGGTATTATATTATCTTCGTGAAAGAAATCTTATTCTGGGACAAAATTTCATTGCTTTCTATGATAAGATTTAATGGTATTCTAGGAGAAGAGCTCATAGCCTTCTATGAGAAGACCTAGTAAGTAGAACCAGAGGCATTCTATGAGAAGTTCGCGAGGTCTTCTATGAGAAGACCAAGTTGTCTTCTATATAAAAGTCTTCAGTGAAAATACCTAAGGTTTTTCTATCAGAAGATTTCATGGTTTTCAGGAGAAACCCATATGATATTCTAGATAAATATATCATGGTTTTCGAGAAGAAGATGTAATGATTATGATATCTTGGAGAAGACCTAATGGTCTTCTATAAGAAGTCTTCTTTTAAAAAGTTTTAGAGTTCTTGATCTATGTAAACATTTAGATGTATTCTATGAAAAGATTTCAAGATGTGATCTATGAGGAAATCTAGAGGTCTTCCTTGATATTTAAAGTCCTTCTATGACAAGGCCTATTGATCTTTTCTGAGAAGACCTACTGATCTTCCGTAGTGGACTTATTGGGCTTCTATGAATTTTCTAGTATTCTAAGAGAATACCTTCTGGTCCTCCCATAGAATATGATATACTATGAGATAGTGACATCTATAGACATTTTTATACCTTACACAACTATTTTGTCAGGGTATTATAGCTTTGTGCAGCCCCAAGAGTTTGTAACAACGCGAAATATTGGTCCTAGACACATCTTTAAGTATACCGATCGTCATATCTCGAATAGCTGAGTCGATCTAGACATGTGTAAACACGATACAGGCCACATTTATGGACAAATCTCGAAATTTTGCATGTAGGATGGGTTCTGTCCAAAGAAGACCCCTATTGTTTTTTATAAAGATCGGTTAATATTTAGCGGATGAAATTGACCAAAAACTTCATTTTTGTCAGGTTTAGAGGCCGCAATTATGGCCCAAACATCGCGAAATTTTGCATGGAGAAGGGAATCAGGCCAAAGAAGAAGCATGCCTGTATTGATAATAATCAGTCAATATTTAGCGGGTCAAATGGACCCCGACTTTTGTGTGAAAATGACAAAATTTGTATTCTATGGCATATATATTTACACCTGAAGAAGGACATTGACCCCAGAAGTTGATAATATATCCAAGAGGAGTGGTTGACCTTTAAATTGATACCAATTATATTGTCGTATGTACTCGGGCGTGGGAGTTACAGTTAAATATTTACAGATGCTTACGTATTCATATATTATTTAGTAACCCATTACCATGATCGCTTTGAAATGTTCCATGAGGTTCCAGTTATTTATTTATTTATTTAAGATTCATATATAATACTAAGCCTTCAGTGGCCAATTTAGTGTATCTCATGACAATTTAAACCTGAGTTATATTATACAAATAAAAAACTATGTAACTATATTAATTTTTAAAATTAAATTAAATTTAACATAAGTTCAAAGTTCATGGCTCCCAAGCCAATAAAAAAGAAAACAAAATGGAAAAATAAGAAAGAAAACAGTCCAATGAGTGGTAGCACAATCCGACTGGTTAATATAAACATAAAAAAGTATATAAAATATGCTATTCCATTAATTCTTGAAAATACTCCATCATTTTCAGACGAAAGGCATTATTGCTATGAGAAAAAATACGCAGTTCTAATGGCAAAAAATTCCAAAAACGCGCAACTCTTACCAAGAATGACCTAGAATATATATTTTTCCAAATTCTAGGAATATAAATCTGAGGATTCCTTGTTGAATGTGAAAACTGAAATAAACGTCTAAAGGCGCAAGGTATACCATTCTTAATGAGATTATAAAAAATCAAAATGCAACGATAGTTTATGTACATTTCAAAAGAACATCCCAGGAAACGAATAACATAGGCAGAAGTATGATCATCTCGGCGAAGATTGTATACAAAACGTATAATAGTATTCACAATACGCTTCAATTTATCAATATTAACACCGATTGTACCCGAATAGACCTCCAGTCCGTACAAAACCTGAGATAGTAAAAGAGAATTAGCTAGCATTAATTTTATTCGGTGAGGAAGGTATAAATTTGACCCATAGATCCTGCGTAACATGCTCCATACTTTGCCGAACAAAGCATCAATGTGACTTCTAAACGAAAGATCACAGTCAATAATTACACCAAGACACTTATGCTGCTGTACAAAATCTATTCGAATTTGGTTCATGAAAATGTTAAAAGAAGGCAAAACACGATTATTATTACAAAATGATATTGCCTTAGTCTTGGATGGGTTAACCATTAGTGAATTTATATTAGCCCAATCAACAAAACGATTTAAGTTTGCGTTTATATTACCTTCAAGTATATCCAAGTCAGCACGCCTACCACTAAAAAGTAGATATATGTCATCTGCAAAAACAAATGTTGAGCAATAAGGAGTGTTTGTATAGGAAGGAAGGTCATTTATATATAAAATAAACAATAGTGGGCCAAGGACAGATCCCTGTGGTACCCCGGAGAACAAATTCAGAATACTGGATTCAGCACCATTTAACACGACAAATTGACTCCTTTTGCATAAATAGGAAAAAATTAATTTGCACGCAGATCTTGAAAAGTTAAATTGATCTCTTAACTTGCTTACAAGGCGTATGTAATCAAGAGAATTGAAGGCTTTAGACAAATCTAAGGATACCATAATACTAATCCCGCCATCATTAATAGTTTTACGAATCGAGTCAGTTAGTTGAAGCAGCAAGTGAGTAGTATTATGTCCATGGCGAAAAGCATATTGGCATTCATTTATTCGATTAACACAAGACGTAAGCATTTGCTTTTTAATAATATGTTCCATTATTTTTGATAATGCCGATAAAATTGAAATTGGTCTCAAGTCATCCGGACCACGTACAGTGCGAGATTTGGGAATGGGCACCACACGAGCAGTCTTCCACGCAGATGGGAAAACAGAAGAAGTTAATATAGTGTTGAAAAGATTTAAAATTATATCAGAGATGCAAGGAAATATAAGTTTGATAAAATATATAGGTATGCCATCGATTCCAACAGATTTAGATTTCACTTTACCCATTGCCTCTATTAGCTCTTCTTCATCTACACAACGAAATGAAAATGACGAATCCAAATCAGGGAATTCATCAACATTAAAAAACACGTCAGTATTGGTATTACAAGTATTCACAAAGTACTCGTTAATATCATTAACATCAATATTGATAGTATCATTATCATTCCCTACACATCCAGAACTTCTAAGAACATTCCAGAGCCTATTTGGGTCCATATTGCCAAAAACCCTAGCGAAATGAAGTCTCCTCTTTTTGCGTATTAAAGATTTCGCCTTATTTCTATATTTGCAATAGATTTGCCAACTTATTTGAGATTGGTCTCTTTGGAATGCCAAGAAAGCCAAATCCCTTAATGATCTTGCAAATCTGACTTCACTAGAATCCATCCAAGGCTCACCAGTGTACTTCAGTTTTTTCCTAACAATAGGAACAAACGTAAAAAGACGATTAAGAAGAGAACAAACAAGTGAGAATTTTGTATCAACATCAGCATTTCCTATTATTAAATCCTTGTCAAAGGTATCAAGAAAGGAATATAAACCAATCCAATCAATGTTGCTGTAATCTCGGAACTCTATAAAATCAGGTAAAGGGTTATAATTTAATGAGAGTGATGCAAATATAAGTGCATGGTCAGAAATCGGTGGGCACTGAACCTGATTTGTATAACTTACGAGACTACAGTCACTGACAAGCATGAAATCAATGAGAGATGTAGAACGATTGCTTAGATCAAAATGTGTAGGTTTAGAATTATGAATAATGCATAGATTTAATCTAGTACAAAGTGACCGAAACATATTTGCCCTCGAAGGATTAAATAAATTGCAATTAAAATCACCAACCAACAAAATATTACTATATTGAGCAAAAAGTTCTGAATGAGCATGTTCGAATATATCTATATTACCCGAAGGCAAATATACAACACCAAAAAGAATTTTGATACTTGAAAATTGTAGCTCAATAAAGAGAGATTCACAATGATGAACGGATATTTTAAAAACGCATTTATATCGAAGTCCCCTGGAAACATATATGCAAATACCACCACCTCTACTGGGTATTTGACGGTCATTGCGGCAAATATTGAAACTTGGAATAGAAAGAGCAGAATTCAAAATATTAGAAGAAAGCCACGTTTCTGAAATAGCAAGAATGTCAAAAGTATTGTCCTTTAAAATAGATTTTATTTCATCCAATTTAGTACTAGGTTTAATGCTCCTACAATTTAGGTGAGCAATGTTCAAATTGTTACTATATGGATGTAACAGTAGCTTGAGATGGGAGTTACCACTCACTATAGGACCAAGATTATTATCAAAAGACATTGATTGCATAACAAGCATAGGGTGGGAGCCAAGAAAAGAAATATAAATGCGATATATATGCACAAAAAATTAAATTCATTTAATCAAAAAATCACTTTAACACAGCGTTTCGCAAATTAGAGATATAAAATGAGGTCGAATAAAAAATATCAACTTATGCAAATTATATTGCGAATAAAAAATTAGAACCAGGATACAACAAGAAAATACCTCACAGAGGTCAATATGAAAAATTTGAACTATACGCATAGAGTTGTATCTTGATTTCACATTAATAAGCAATTAAAGACAATGGGAAAAAATAAATGTGTATGGTAAGATTATATATGGCCAGGAAGTAGTAGAGAACAACCAGCAGCATCACGTTCAACGATTTTACCATCAGGCAGTACAATTTTAGCTTTAGCTTTATCTCCATTGATGATTCTGTACT